GAATCTGAGATAACAAGGTGCAGAGCTGGATGAATACAGCAGGCCAACACTTTCTGAAGAAGGGTCAAGGCCCAAAACGTCAGCCTTCCTGCTCCTCTGATGCTGCTTGGCCTGCTGTGTTCATCCAGCTCTACACCTTGTTACCTCAGATTCTCCAGCATCTGCAGTTCCTACTATCTTTGATCTGATCCAGAACCATTTCACCCTCTGATCCATTATAGTGTGTAAGAGAATCAATGCACAGCATTTAACTGGCCTCTGAAATGACCAGCAACTTAGTTGTACCAAAACCACTACAGCTAAGTCAAAGCCAGTTTGACTGCGGCAGTTAAAGGAAGCAGCTCATTGCCACCTTCCCAAAAAAAATTAGGGATGAGTGACAAATGCTAGCCTCACCAGCAAAGTCCATATTCCATGAAATACTAAAAACAAAACTTTCATCTTCTCTTACTCCTTAAAACTTAACTCTATGACCAAGGTTTGTTTGTGTGTCCCAATCCCGTCTAATGTAAACCCAAGCAGCTAAAAATGAAATTAATAAAAATTAAGCCAAAGAGGGGTATTGATTGAAGACACTTGCTTGGGGAGTGATGGTATTAACACCACCTATTGTTCTCTGAACACAATCATAAGACTGTTACAAGAAACACACTTGACCCTAAGATCCCAAAGTTGCTACGAGACAATGACAGAAAGGATGCCATGTGACATCTTCATGATATTTCTGTCTCTATTTTGGCAATAGATTAAGCATGTCAGCCTGTCCAGGTGGAAATGGATATGGATGGATATGTCTTAGATGATGCTATGTTTAAAGTTCCCCTAAAGATTTAGTTATGTATTTTGCAGCTCGTTTTATGGGATGTATGAACCTAACTGTGGGCTGGACAAAGTACTGATGTCATGGGGACATGATGGTAAGTGGTGTTTGGGAGTCCAACGTTGCGACCGAAGATAGGGGAGATTTTTAAGGAAACTGAGTGCCTGTTGTACCACCTGAAAACAGAATGTAGAAGTGGCATTTGGCTATGTTCATGCTAACTCTAAGCATACAGGACAATATGCCAAAGCATCAGAATTTATGGAGATGATGCACATTGATCGGGACTAGATAGATTGTTATACATAGGAGTGTAGGACTTAACAGCAGGCCATTTGGCTGATCGAGCCTGCTCCACCATTCAATAAGACTACAGCTCACCTGGCTGTGGTCTCAGCTCTATTTTTCTGTCTGTATGCCAGAAACTGGATTTCCTTGTCAAAATCCACCTGATGTAACCTTAACTGTAAATAAATAGAAATATCCAGTCTCCACTACCTTGTGGGAAGAAAAAAATTCTCATCTATCTTAAAGAGAGATCTTTTGTGTATAACATATTTTCCCTAGTATTAGTCTCCTGGATAAGAGGAACCATCCTCTGGATATCCAGTATCCCCCTACATCTTAAGTGCATCAGTAAGATCACCTTTCATTCTTCTAAGCTCTAATGGGTACTGGCCTAACCTGTTCAAACTATCTTCATAAGATAAGCCCTTCATCCATGAAATGTGTTGAGTGAAATTTCCCTGAACTGTTTCTAATTTAATTACCTTTTCCAAATGAGATCAAAACTGTACATTGTGTTCCAGATACGGTCTCATCAAGTCGCCGTACAGCTGCAGCTTTATGTTCCATTTCTCTTTTAATGAATATAAATATTCCACTTGTCTTCCCAACTACTTGCTATAACTGTATACTCATGTCACATACCAAGGCATACAGATCCTTCTACAACAGAGTTCTGCAACTTCTCTCAATTTACACTAGATATTGCTTTTCCGATATTCTTGATGAAATTGGAAAGTTCACATTTATCCACATTATCTCTCTCTGCCAAATTCTCAACCAGCCTATATCCCTTCGCACATTCTCACCTCCTTTTGAAAACTTCCTTTCCCAATTATCAAGAATCATCAGCAAATTTCAAATCCATTCATTCAGTCCCATCATGCAAATCTTTGCAAATAGTTCAGGATGTTGTACTAATTCTTCTTGCATTTCACTAGTTACAGCTTGCTACTCTAAAAACAAAACCAATTTATTCCTGTTTTCTGTTAGCTACCCAAAGTGCTTTTCATTGTGCAGTAACTGTAAAACACTTTGCAGTGGGAAACAATGAAATAAGTCAGTGAATTAGTTAACAAGGGCAATAGATTGACAATTATAATCCAGTCACTGAAACACTTATTGTCAGAGAAAAAAGAACTATAACAGGGTCATAATTTGAGGACTATCACCGGGAAAATGGATGAGTTAGGTTTTCAAAACAACGGAGTATCACCTGGAATAACTTGAGGGAGAAACTAACAACATTTAAAGCAGTTCACATGATTTAATTGAATAAGGATTTCAGAAAGAAGAACACAAACAGATATGGCACAAAACAGGAAAACAAGATTGGGAGATTGTCCCAGCAGAGGAGGCTAGGATCATCACCACAAGCACAATGAGTCAGAGAATTTACAACCTTTAAGGAGGGGCTCTTGTGGTGCAGTGGTAGTGTCCATACCTCCTCTGAGCCAGGAGGTCCTGGGTTCTCGTCTCACCTGCCCTGGGAGTGTGTGTAATAACATCACTGAACAGATTGATTATTTAGTAAAATATTCACAACCTTTGAGGCTGCTACGAGTTCACGTTAGTGGACCATACCTTCAGTTACTGTTGTAAGAATCCAAAGAGGAGAACTTGGGACAGATGCTATTTTGTTTTAAGGCTGGTAACACTGAACAGTTAAATACTAAAAGAAAATGAGTTTCTTGAAAGTGGGTTTGCTGGTGAAGACTCAAAACAGACGGACTGTGTTGCACTCACCATCACTTCTTATTATAGCACGTGTTTGCAGGAGAGCAAGAAAGTGAAAAAAACACACAAATGAAACAAAAAAAACTCCTCTTAAAACCTTGTTAAATGGGATGATCTGAGTTCCACGGCTACTTCCTGAGATTTAACTTGGCCCTTTCTCTTATAGAATATCTGTACAATGTACTGAAAACTAATGGGTGCAAACTTCCTGAAGAGGTAAGTTTGAAAGCTTTCCAATTTCTTCCCTGAGCTTAAAATCTGGATTAATGTACCAGGTGATCACTATTCTCCACAACTGCATGATATTCCAGGCAGCCATAGCTCAGGGGTACCATACATACCTCAGTCATTATGTCATGGGTTTAAGTCTTATTGCAGGGTCTTGAACACAGAATCCAAGCTGATACACTTGGGTGACTGTCAAGGGGTACAATGGGAGTGCCCCTCTGCTGGAGCTGCAGTACTGTGGGAGCACTATGTTACAAAGGGCAGAACTGCCCGCGTACCCCTCAGAGGAGCAATACTGGAGAAAGCACTAACTGATGGGAAGGAGAAATTATAGGAAAGAAGTCAAGAAAGGGGAAAATTCTAAAACAAAAATTGGTGTCAATAAACATTTTATCATGTCTGTGTGTCTGTCTATGTTTGTATATTTGGTTCAGGGACTGTACATGATCCGCTTCCATTCATTCTACCCCTGGCACACGGAGGGAGATTACACGCATCTCTGTAACAGCAAAGACCTGCAAATGCTTCCATGGGTTAAAGAATTTAAGTAAGTTCATTAAAAATGCTGCAGCTGTTCTAATCAAAATTCTGTTGTTTCAGCAAAGCTATTAAATCTGTGCCACACAATTAACGCTTGGTAACTTTAGCAGAGGGAACAGAGATGTCAGAAGCAGGTTGAAAATCAATAAACAGGGCTGTGTCAATACAATGAAAAGTCAATGGGAAAACCATGGAGACCATCAGGGGATAACACTTTTGTCAGTGCTGGAGCTACTGGAGTACATAACTGGTTTTTGTGCTGAAGACTGTTCCTGAGCTGAGTGTTAGAGACTGTGTCACTATGGGAGTGATAGCACTGGGAACAAATTGTGAAGATGGCTTGGTGATTTTCAACTGGTGTTTAAAGCAGAAAAGTAAAAGAAAATGAGACATGGAGTAGTCACCGAGAACAGAAACTAACTGGAACAACTCAAGTCGGGAGGGTATGTAATGGGAGAGACTGATTTTCCATGTTGAGATACTTTCTGCCAGCCTAACCACACCCTTCTGTGCTTGCAGCAAGTTTGATCTGTACACCAAGTGTGATGACTTGCCTGATATGAAGACGTTGCAGGCCTACTATCAGCAACTAATTGATAAGTATTGTCCAGGAAAACTGCACTGGTAACCAGCAGAACATATTCAACCTCAAATCAATGCTCTAATCTTGGATCAACAGCTTCAGAACCGAAACAATTTTAAAGGTTGGTTAAAATGATGACTTTCCCTCAAAATGGCTGCTTACCCTGAATTAAACACTATGTGGAGTTGGATTCCAACTTTAGACCAGGATCCATTGGGTTAATCTGACTGTGACTTCCACGGATCGGACACATCCTATTGACCTATATGTTTTCATTTTAAATAATTGTTCTCTGCATCCATAATTCACCTTGTGGAGGGTTCCATTGCTGTTGTAATAGGGAATGAATCACATCCAGTTACTGTTTTTCACAACATCACTGCTCCACTTGCTATCAAATCTTACACATGCTTTTGGATGAGTTTGAGTCCTTGAAGCTAAATATATTTTATATTAGTAATAGTGATTTTTAAAAAAAACATCTGGATTTAGTGAGTTACAGTGGAGTAGTTGGATAAACTGAGGGAACATACACCACTTTGTCTCACACAAATACCTAGTTTTAAACAACTTAGGTGAGGAAGGTACTCCCGTCATCGCTGCATCAGCTGTTCAGGCAGTGGGTCTACAGCTCAGTCTGTGACTGCTAGAGCCCAGGAAACACAAACTCAAGATAGAAATAAACAGCTGAGTGAAGGCTGCAAGGAGGTTTCCTGGTTTCCTTCAGTGTAATAACGAGGAGTTAGCCAGGGTACAATGCAAACAGTTAGGGAACAAGCTTTAGAATAATCAACTGCAGTTGGGGAAGTAGAGAATAGGCCAATACAGAGCAGGACGGTTGCAGGAAGTTTGCTAAAACAGCAGTTCCAGTTTGAAAGAACAACCTTTACTGTCCTGTTGTTTCTATGGGTATTGCAACAACTATTGTTAATTAATAAATACAACAGCACTGAAATTAGGGTCACTTGCAGTTACTAATTTTAGTGACTTCACTAAAGTTTTGATTGCTATTCAAAGCTTCCCGACAAATAAAATGCTGTACCATTCCTTCATATCTTAGATGTTGTCTGTCTCTGGGTATAAGGAAATGAGAAATTCATTACTGAAGTGCTGATGCAGAGACACTGTACAGTACATTTAAGATTCTTGTCTTACACATTATTTCACTCAGCTTGAGCTTCTCAATTTGACACACATTAGTATTCCAAACATCCAAAATCTATTCCAGGACCTTGCATTCAGACTCTGTGTTTAAAGAAAATTACATATAATATTATACAAAACAAGAATCCATGGAGTTCCAATGTCACTGGAATATTTTGAGCAGGGAATTTTTTATTGCAGAAGTGAGAATTTTGACAATTCCTCTTAACACAGAGCATCATGGATAATTTACAAATTAAATTGGGATCAAGACAGCAGCAAGAGCCCATTAAATAAGGCAAGTTACCACTTCACCAGGAATCAGCAATTTAAAAACTATAACATACTGACTCATAGTGGGTGCAGGGTGAAACATGGTTAGAAAGAGGAGTGGGAAACTTGCAAGTCTAGTCAGGTGTGAGTGAGAATCCGAGATTTGAACACCATGGAATCAGATGGATTTTATGGTGAGTTACTGACACCTGGAGGCAGAACTGCAACACGGCAACCTTTCCTGAGCCAGACTGCTAGACATCTGAATACAGAATTTGATGTCATATTGGAGCAAACTTAATGACTTACCATTCACAAAGATTTAACAAGGCCTCACAGAAAGACAAAAGCATAACTTTGGAAATATATAACATGATCCTTGTCAATGGAAGGCTTGCAACCAAAGACAAAAGAAGATGTTGTCAAGATGGGAAGAGACCCTTAAAATCCCCTCAATATATAAAAAGCAGCCCGTTTACCAACCCAAAGCGCAGAACGAGCTCTCAAACATTGAATACTGAACCCCAATACACAGATTACCTGATCAGTGAAACTTGGGCAGTCGGGCTCCAATAACTCAAGGCATATCTGTACAATAATCTGTAGATTATGCTAATGAATTCTATGGGTCACCAAGTTAAATACTTCAATTAAACACACAACTTAGTGTAAATAGATAATAAAGTTACACAAAGCACTTGTTAGCCCAGAGTTCAAAACTATGTGCAGTTTTGGTTCTCCACTATAGAAAATACTTAAAGCCACAGAGTGAACAGTGTATATTCTTCATGATTTCAGACATAGGAACTATAGGCTTTGAGGACATACTTGAAACTGGCACTGTTCTTAATGGAGCACAGGAGGCTCAGAGGAGATTTAATAAATTTTTTCTTTTAAATAACCAGTCTGCTTCTACCTCAGACATTTAGATCCTAAGTAAGTGGCACCCTGGGATCAGATGGGATCATTTCTGTCATTTGGCAGGTGTGATATGCAGTCTGGCAACAGAGTCTCTCTCGTTCTCAAATGAACCGCAGCAGAAATGTGAGGGAGAGAGTTAGATAAAATAGAAAAATATAAATCAGTTAAAAAGAGACTCTAATGATTACTTTCTTCTGCGAACATTCTCTAGTGGCTGTTCCTCAGCAGGTGGTCGCACTTTACCCTCTGATCGTCGAAATTCCTTCCACCTCCCATCAGCATCCACCTCCTCACCACCACTCATGTCCTTTCTCTCCGGTCTCCTTGAACCCGGCTTCAATGTGCTCCCTTTGCGGTTTGTTAGCGCCTTGAGCAAGGAGATGAACAACACAGCAATGAACAGTCCCCAAATCACCTGCTCCCCAGAGTAGGGCTCCACCTGTTCACGGGTTAGTTTCAGGATGGATGGCAAAATAGCCTTCACAACCCGTTTCGGCTGCATTTTGTCCTATGAGAAGAACAATAATTAGTTACAAAAACGAAGATGGGTGAAGCACAGACAGATGCAGCACATGACTATTGCATGAGTTGGATGCATGGATAGAGGAAGCTTTACATTGTGTATAAGATCCACAGACAGGACTGCTGTGCCAGGCTCATCATTTCAGTCTGATCTTTGCCCACAAAACTTATTCTTTCCAGTCTCAGCTCCACCTTATTTTCCCTGTTCTCTGGTCTCCTCTGTTAACTTCTATCAGTTGAATATTTTCCAGATGCTGACTTGTCTCCTTCTCAACGTGGGCATTCAGTTCTTCTATCTCCTCCATCAGCATGTCCTGCCCTTAAATACCCCCACTCCCAGCAACCTCAGGGTGGGCTGAGGTGCTTCCATTTCTTCCATGAATGAAGGCACAAACAGTACCCACTCTGTTGTAACAGCTGAATGTGTTCTTATGCTGATCAGATTTATATTTGACTCCACTCGTTTCTAGTAAATAAGGGTCGTCATTATGGGAACCCAAATAGATCTGGGCTTTTCATGGGGAATGTGAACATTCATTCCAGTCCTGCTCAGTTCTCCTGCATTCTTATACTCTCAGGACTGCATTGGTATCACTTTTGGCTGTCTATCCAAAATACTCGGATTCCAGCCTTCCCTCCCTCAACCTTCATATGGCCCATCTTTAACTATTTCTTCTTTGATTTCTCAATCTACATTTCCAGTGTATAATCACCGGACAATATTCACCACATGCCACCTGATGTTATCCTGATCAGATTTCTTTTCACCAGGTTTTCAGGTAATGGCTCAATTCTATTCTAGCAGCTTCTCCAGCCACATTGCATCTGTTCTGATGATGCCACTTTTTACTTCAGTGCTGCTGATATTGTCCCTTTCCTTCAAATGAGGACTCTGCTTTACTGTGGTTGACTGCCTCTTGACCTTACCTGCCCTGTTCCCCAACTTCTCTTCTCATCACTTCCTTTCCTTCCAGACCCACAATAGGAATCTGGTGCCCTCCACACCCATCATAGTGTGAGCTTTATTCTGCATCCAACCAATGCCTTACATATTCTGGACAGGTTTGATAGCAAAGTATAAAGGAAAATTAAATCTTAAATCTAATCATTGCTATTCCTCCATGACTGCGTTTGACTGGTGAGTGTAAACAAATCAGCCACAAAATGCTGTGCAGTCCTCACCTTGAAACCATGTTCACGCAACAGTGATTCCAAATTGGGGTCTCCTAACGATACCGAGGGGAAGAATTCTCCCACATGTTCCCGAGTCCACCAATCGTTGAGCGAGCTGTTGGTGGGAGGCGTGATCATAAATGGGACAGCAAACAGGGAGGGGAAGGGTGAGTGATGGCAGAACAAGGGTATAGCGGGAGGAGAGAGACACATATTAGAAAGGGGATGTATGGCATGGTACCAAGCCATTTGTTCCAAACATCTTTACCTACCACCCCATCAATTGGTTCCAAACACACTGTTCCTAGATCCCTTCATCCCCCTGTTCAATTCAATCTCTCAAACGATAGCAGTTTTACTAGCCCTCCAACACCACATGCTCTCTCTCTCAATTTCCCTAACATCATGCTTTCTGTGTGGCACATTTTCTCTTTCTAAATTCAGCCCTCAATAATGCATCTGGTCTCACCCTCCCAACTGCAGCACCCCATATGCTTTCCCCACACATCCAACATTGCGCACTTGCTCTAACCCATTTTCGCAGCAGCTGTGTCATTCCTCTCTCACGCCACCCACTTACACACACACTAACCACCACCTTGAGACTGTGTGAAATTTTCTCTTTCTGCTCCCATTTCACATCCTGAGTGCACAGACTTCATAGTTCTCACTCAGTATGATGTGAAACTGAAAACAACAAATGCTGGAAATAACAGCAGGTCAGGCAGCATCCATGCAGATACAGCAAGCTAATGTTTCGAATCTATCAGAGATTCCAGCGTCTGCAGTAATTTGCTCCTATCAATACCAAGTGAACATTTTCTTTCTCTCCTAAGCCTGGGACTGTGTTTGGGCTCTCTCTCAACATGATCCCCTTCCACCCCCAGAACTACGTATGCTGTGCTTTCACCCTCCCCTTGTTATGATTTCATCCTCTTGCTCAGGAGCAAACACACACACTTCGCCTCTCATTCCCTACTCCTGAGCCACACTCTCCCTCTCGGGGAATGTACGTTACTCTATCACGGCCACTCACCTGTCGGTCCCGTACATCGTATACCAATACTTGTAGAGCTGGGCTCGGATGTAAGTAGGGGGCTTGGTGCTGAAAGCATATTTGGTCTCATCCACTTGCACCAAGCGAATGACTAAAACCAAAAACAAATGAGAATAAAGAAGAGATGACCAGCTGGATAAGTGGAACTTTTAACACCGTATTACTGCAGAAGCACCCTGTGACAGTGAGAAATACTGCGAGTAGTGCAAGATAACAGTGCAAGATATCACGATCAGCATAATGTAACTGTCAGTTACTGTAAGCAGTTCAGTGCAACAGTGAGATATACCACAACCAGTGCAGTGTGATAGCGAGAGAAACTACAGCCAGCTCAGTGCAACAGGGTGCAAGATTCTCTGCACTCACCATTCCTCTTTCCCTGGAGAAGCCGATGGATAAAGCTGGTGAACCAGGGGCTGTGCCTGTGGTCACCCAGGGCAGCAAACCACATCTGCCAATCGAGCCGAGGCTGGTGTGGGGCCACCAGAGGAGGGGCTACGCTGAGGTTCCCTGGCTTATACATGAATTCAATTTCCTAAGAAAAGAAAAACACTCGGAATATGGGATCAGAAACAACAGGAGTAGTAGAATAAAGGACCAGGGTAGAGAGTTAATGTCCTCATTCTCAGGACAAGGATCAACTGTGGCTAGCTCCCATAAACAAGGCGATGATAAGGGAGCCCTGTATTGCACTCACAAGAGTGAGGACCGAGGGGTACTGTACTGTACTGATAGGGCAATGAATAAAATAAAACTGTACCCGCTCACAAGGAGTGAGGAGGACTATACCACACTCTCCAGTAAGAATGGTGGGGTGCTGGTTCAGAATACAACTCTCCTGGAAAACTGTAATCTGCCCCCATTCACAGTTTGCACACCCACCTTCTCCACTGTGCATGAATCCTACCTTCCATTTCTGGCCATCATAGCTTCCTTCCACCATAACCTCTGGACGACCACCGACCCCAGTCATTCGACGGAACAGTCCATAGGAGTTGACTAGTTGGTAACGGTCGACCATATCATACAGCTGACGAACCTCAGGTCTCAGGTTGGAGTTAGCCTCGTACTCAATGAAGGTATATGGTACCTGGGGTGAAGGCAGGACATTAAATTATCAGTGTCCTGAACTCTCTCCAATCAATCGCTGATGCATCATATAAAAGTCATGACAAATGAGACTGGATCAGGGTGGGAGAGAATTGATGGTGGCTGAAATAGAAAGTGTGTGGGAAAAGATGAAAAAGGGAGAGGGGATGGTGGAAGACATTGTATGTGGACATTAGTACTTTATCTTCCCAGCTAATCCGACTCCATATTTTTGGTAATCAAAATTCCTCCAAAGATCAGCATTTAACAGGGAATCAGATAAACAATTTTAAATGAAGAAAGTGGGATGAATGGCTGGCTTCAGCTGCAGGTCTAGCCGAATTGCAGCTCCAAAGGCAAAATGTGACCCTAAGAGAGAAAATTAGTGGCACAGGAGGTGGCTATTTATCTCAAATTTTTTTTAGAGAGCCAACAAAAGACAGATTCATCCCATTGTACTTCCTAGCTCTTGTTTTGTTGCTCTGCTGGTTACGAAAGTGCACGCCTAATTTTTTAAAAAAATGTGGTAAGAGTTTCTGTCTCTCATCCTTTTAGGCCCTGAATTCCAGGTCTCCATCACATTCCAGGTGAACAAAAATTCTCACCTTTCCTCTAAAGGTTCTACCAATTATTTGATGCACTGTAAATCACCACTAAACTGTGAGACATGGATGGTCTTGGCACTATAAATCAATCTTCAGTATTCACACACTTTTCTTTAACCTTTAGTCTGCTTGAAGGAAAAGGAATGACTGGCAAATAGGAGGCTTTTAAAAGTGTGATATCAAGAGTCCAGGGACATGATGTCCTGTTAGGGTGAAGGGAAAAGGTTTAGGGATCCCCGACTGACGAGGGATATTGAGGCTCTGGTCAGGAAAAAGAAGGCGGCATACATTGGGTTTAAGCTATTGGGCTCAAGATGATTGTAAGTGTAGGAGCACACTCAAGAGGGAAATCAGAAGAGCAAAAAGAAGGTGTGAGACTGATCTGGCAGATAAGGTTAAGGATCATCCCAAGAGGTTTTATTGCTATATTAAGAGTAAATGGGCGATTAGGGAGAGAACAGTTCCCTTAAAAATCAGCATGGCTGTCTATGTGTGGAACCATAGGAGATAGGGGAGATTTTTAATGAATATTTCTCCTCAGTGTTTACGGAGGAGAGAATCATGGATGCTAAGCAAATAAAGGAAACAAGTGGGAATATTTTTGACCACATACACGTTACCAGAGAGGAGGTGTTTAAAGCCTTAAAGCACATTACGGTGGATAAATCCCCTCGGCCTGATCAAGGCCATCCTCAGACGTTGTGGGAGGCTAGGGTAGAAATTGCAGAGGCCCTTGCAGAGATTTTTGCTTCATCTTCAGCGAGTGGAGAAGTTCTGGAAAACTGGAAGGTGGCTAATGTTGTTCCATTGCTTAAGAAAGGTAGCAAAGACAAGCAGGGAACTACAGGCCCATGAGCCTGATATCAGTGGTTGGCAAGTTACTGGAGAGGATACTGAAGGACAGGATCAACCAACATTTGGATAGTCAAGGTCTGATTAGGGATAGTCAGCATGGATTTGTACATGGGAAGACACGTCTGACAAATCTTTCAGAGTTTTTTGAAGAGGTAACCAAGAAGATGGATGAGGGTAGGGCAGTGCGTGTTGTCCATATGGACTTAGTAAGGCCTCTGACAAGGTTCCACATGGCAGGCTAGTCATGGAAGTTAGGTAGCATGAGATCCAGGGAAAGCTAGCTAGTTAGATTCAAAATTGGCTCAATGGTAGGAAGCAGAAGGTGATGGTTGATGGTTGTTTTTCTGAAAGGAGGCCTGTGATTAGTGGTGTGTCAATGTGGTCGATGCTGGGCCCTTTGTTATTTACATAAATGATCTGGATGTCAATGTACAAAGCATGATTAATAAGTTTGCGGATGATACAAAATTAGGAGGTATTGCTCATAGCGAAGAAGGTTATCAAAAGTTACAGAGGGATCTTGATCAGATGGGGAAGTGGGCTGAGGATTGGCAAACGCAATTCAATACAGACAAATGTGAGGTGTTGCATTTTGGAAAGTCAAACCAAGGTAGGACTTACATAGCAAATGGTAAGGTCTTGAGGAGTGTTGCGGAAGAGAGGGATCTAGGAGTACAAGTACATACTTCGATGAAAGCGGCATCACAGGTGGACAGGTTGGTGAAAAAGGCATTTAGCATGCTGGCCTTCATTGGTTGAGGCACTGAGTACAGGAGTTGAAATATTATATTATAGTTGTATAAGTCATTGGTGAGGCCACACTTGCATTATTATGTACAGTTTTGGTCACCCTCTTACAGCACAAAGAGGATTTTCGAGGATGCTGCCAGGACTAGTAGGCCCGAGTTAAACAGACAGGTTGGCCAGGATAGGACTTTATACATTGGAACGTAAGAGAATGAGGGGAAGACCTTATTGAAGTGTATAAAATCATAAAGGGCATAGATAGGATGAATGCATATAGTCTTTTTCCCAGGGATGGGGAATTGAAAACTAGAGGGCATAGGTTTAAGGCGAGAGGAGATAGATTTAAGGAGGACCTGAGGGGCAACTTCTTTACGCAGAGAGTGGACTGCCAAGAAAGTGGTTGGGGCAGGCACAATAGCAACAGTTAAAAAACATTTGGATAGGTATATGTATGGAAACGGCTTAGGGGGATATGGACCAAATGTGGGCAATTGGAACTAGCTGAGTGGGCACCATGGTCAGCATGGACCAGTTTGGGTCGAAGGGCGTGTTTCCATGCTTTATTACTCTATGACTCTAAACATTTTCACTCTCTATCTCCTTGAGTCAGCTATTCCACAGTTACCATCCTCTTTGAAGGAGCTGAGTCTAACCATGTGCTTCAGGACTTCATTCTAATGAATACATTATCAAGAATTATCCATTCTCTTAGAACAATCAACTGGATTATTAATCCTCCTGTCTTCTCACATGAGTCCCTAATAACTGAATGACAATTTTGACCTAATTTCACACTCTCCAAATAATTAACCTTAGTTTTTCAGTATCTGAATAATCCGGCCCTATAACATGGCCCAGGCTGAAACATGTGCATATTCTAGGGAATGAACTTGATTTGCCTTCATTGATTTGGGCTGTCATTAAACTATTAACTGTCGTTCTGTTTGTAACACACACCTCTGAATCAGAAGAATGTGTTCAAGTTTTACTCCAGAGACACGAGTTCAAAAATCAAGTTTGACACTCTTGTGTGAGAGAGTGCTGCACTATAGGAGATGCTATCTTATAGATGAAACTTTAAAGCAAGGTCCTCTGTTCTCTCAGGTGCACAGTAATGATCTCAAGGTGCTATTTTTAAGAGGAGTCTGGGATTTCTTCCTGTTGTCCTGTCCAATATTTAGCCCTCATTCGTCATCTCAAAAACAAACCATTTAGTTTTTAAACATCTTATGAATGCTTATAGGATATTGGCTGCTATGTTTTTGACGTTACAACTATTATATTCAAAAGTTCTTAATTGGCTGTAAAGCACTTGGGAATGCCTTACGGTTGTTAAAACATCATATAAATGCAGTCTTTCTTTTACTTGAACTAGGACTCAAAATTCTGAAGGGAAGAGTCCCAGCTCCACCTCATGCTCCTCACTCACCAGACTAACAGCAAACATTGCAGCAGCAGCAACAGCAAACACAGCCCACTGAGAGGTAGCCCAGAGCTTGGCGATAAATCCTCTCACCATGAGGGAGCTATGAAAGAGAAACAGATTTAATGTTAAAACAAGAGGTAGCTAGTCAATGCAACTTGAGGGGTTCATAGGACTTGGGAGTGTGATTGTGGAAAATCAAGAAACTGAAGGATGGGGGATTTGGGCAACAGGACCCCATAAACCAAGCACATAATAAGTAAAACAGGAGTGAAAAGGTGCAAAGTAAACTGTGCAAATTGGAAAGGATGTTGCAGCAAGAAACCCTGTATCTGCAGATAGGCAACATCATAGACCATGAATAAGAAAAGTAAACCCGGTGGGGAGTGGGAAAAGGACATGATGAATGTTTTCTGCAATTTTTCTATTTGTGTGGACCCACTCAACTTAATGGGGGCATTGATTAAGAAGAGCAGGATATTCTGCCGTATTTATCCCTGAATCAACTTCACCAAAAAAACACAGATAATCTGATTGTTTACTTCATTCCTGTATGTGGGAGCTCAGTGTTTGCAAAGTAACCGAAGTACTTCCATAAACCTCAAGGACATTCTGTGTGAGGAACAGTTTGTTAAATTGGTTAGATAGCTAGAGTGTTTCAGGTTATGCTAACAGCAAGGGTTCAGCTAGGGTAGCCTTGGTGTCTGTCTCCTTGTGGATGGCAGTAGCACTAAACTGGTAAAAACAGATAAATATCAGCACGCAATAAGTCAAGGACATGCCTTCAAGCAAAGCACTCATGAAGGAAGGAGGGAAAAAAAGATTCTGTACAGCTCCTCAGAGACCCACCTGAGCAGTGATGAGAGTATCTCCCACGTGAGGGACATAGCACCAATCCAGATGGTGAGTGGAGTCACGGTCTTCAGCCATCGTGTAAACTCATGGAAAGTAAAGCCTGTGAACCATGATGAGAGAGAGAGAGATTTGAGAGAGCCCATGTTGTACCTGCTCTGGGAATGTTTAGCTGGATAATGCAGAAGGATCTCTAATCTTTACCTGACCTGTGCTATGTACGGTCTGGAATGCTTGTTGATACAGCACAAAGTGAGGTTTACTCTGCTGAACCTGTGCTGCACCTGTCCTTGGAGTGTTTAATACTAACAACTGAATGCTTCAAACTCCAGTGAGTTTCATTCGTAAAACCATTTTTTCAAACAAAAGATTTGTCATTCTAGAATTAGTCTGTACCAGCATTTTAGTGGAGCTATCCAATTAACAATTCTCTTTGCAAGCAACTTCCCCTTCAAGCAAGCATCCTATTCTCTACTGAGTGTAATTATATTTCCTTCTATCACACTCTGTCACAATACATTTCGGATGATAAAAATTTTTTGTCATTGTTTGAATGCTTTACTGATGTGTCAGTAAAGCCAAAGATCCCATGTGCTTTTTAAATAGTCTCTGCGCCTTGACCGGCTACCTCCAAAGATTTGTGCACATACACTCCCAGTCTGATGATGGAAACCTTATTTTGTTTTGCCTCTCTTCCTTCTTCCTACCAAGATGTATGACTTACCCCTTTTCTACGTTAAAATTATTCTGTCACATGTCTGCTTATTTTATCTATCCATGCCTTTCTGAAGCATATTACTTTCCTCTTCAATGCTTACATTTTCAAGTTTCTTAACTGCAAATTTTGAAATTATGCTCTGTATAGTTAAAAACAAATTGTTAATATACACTACCGCCTCTTTAGTCTGGAATGCTTGGGACAAAGTCACTTCTGGATTTTGAAATTTCCTGAATTATAGAAAGAAGTTAGAATGCGTAACAAGCATATGAACTGGAAAACGGGGTATATACAAATATTTAGCTGAAACATAAAACAGTGATGAAAATTTATAAAGTAATAATAAAAATTGTTTTACTTATCCAAATACTATAGCTTCCAGGTTTCCATTCTGCACAAAGTAATGTATGAAAACGACACTGAGGATGCTTGGGTTTGCTCAAAAGCTTTTCAGACTACTGGTGTTTCCAAACAATAGAATTCCAGACTTCAGGGGTTACAGCACATAATAAAAAAGATATTTCTAACTCTTGGGGACAATATATACTTTCCTCCAGTCTCAGAAACAACATTTGTCATTATTTGCTGTTGATTTTGCATCCAATGCCCCTTTATGTCCTTTTAGTTTCAAAGGCATTGATTTTGCTAATGAGTCATTTACATAGCACTTTGAAACCCTATATGCACATCAGCTGCATTACTCCTATCAACCCTCTGTGGTGTCAAAGAACTCAATTGAGTTTCTTAAACATTATTTTCCTGTGACAAAAATATATTAGCTTTCATTTTTGAAAAAATTTATTTTGCGGGACGTGAATGCCACTAGCTAGGGCAGCACTTATTGGCCATGCCTAATTGTCCTTGAGAAGATGGTGACGTAATAGCTTCTGGAATCACTGCAATCCTTTGTGTGTGAATGCTCAATTGGTTATTTGGAAGGGACGTCCAGGATTTTGACTCAGCAGCACTGCAAGAACAATTAATATTTCCAAATTAAGATGGTGTGTCTTGGAGGGGAACTTACAGGTGGTGGTATTCCCATACATCTGCTGCCCTTGTCCTTCTAGGTGGTAGCAGTTGCAGGATTGTAAGGTATTGTCAAAGGAACCTTGGTAAGATCCTACATTTTTTAGCCCATGCATTGAGATGCCAAGTAATTTTACCTGGATTGTTGTTTTTGAAAGTTTCCCAACTACGGTTAGGCTACTGCCTCCTCTTTACTGTGGCAGTGCAGTCCTCTTTAGTGAAGATAGATGAAAAACACTGATTTTCTATCTCAGTTATGCCCTACATCTCTACAAGAGAATTTCCTCTTTTGACTGGTTCAATGTTCACCCTTCCCTTGGCTATCTTTTAACTATTTTTATTTATTATTGTATATCACTGTACCATTTTCCAGTACTCATACGAAGGATGCACAAATTTACTGCAGAAGAGATGAAAACAATTACAACTTGTAAATGTAAGGAATCTTTAGTAACTAAGCATTGAGAATGATGTCTGAAGTGGACCAGAGTCTGCTGGTTTGTTGTGAGGCAGGCTGACGGACTGACACAGGCAAAGAATCTGAAGTTTGTGATAACACAGTGTGGAGCTGGAGGAACACAGCAGGCCAGGCAGCGTCAGAGGGGCAGGATAGTTGACGTTTTGGGTCGGGACCCTTCTTCAGAAAATCTGAAAATCAAAAAATCTCTCTCTGAATCTGAAGTTTGTGTTGTTCATACCTGCTTTGGATTCTATCATCCTTTTCTCCCAGTTGAGACTTAGTCCAAAGTAGTGAATTGTTCCATAAATCAATGTTACATAAACTGCCAGCTCAGTGAGGCCAACGACAAAAGATTGTAGTGTCCGCAACCAACCCAATCCTATAGGGAAAAGAAGCAACAATTGCAGTTCAAATGTCAGAGTTCAATCACTTTCTCCCTGGACATACATCACGAGTTGCTGAGCCTGGGCCTGCCTACAGGGACTGACGACGGGTACGGCATCAGTCACGGATACTCAACATGGACACGTCATCTGCCACAGTGTATGTACCACATGCCCTCCCCTCCCCTGCCTGATACTCACTCTCAGGATTTTGCTTCTTGCCTCTCCTGACCCAATAGTGTATATGCTGATCGTCCAGTAGTGAAAGCCCCAGAACAATTGAGAGTAGATTGAAGAAATTATAGTTACCAGTGATGATAATTAATACCTGGAGCAGAATCTGCAGATCCAAAAAACAAAATCCATTAGTGAGAAACGTACATGGAAGTTGAGAGCACAAGCAAGACACCGAAATCTTCTGCACAGGGACATGGAAGACTGTAAGTATGATAAAGACCAGAAAATGTCATCTTTCTGCTTACTTCAAACCCATCCCTGTCCTCCAAACTTCTTTTGCAATCTTCAACACTTTCTCAATTGAGAAGGCAGTGAATAGTCACCATACCCCAGATAAGAAGGGCATTAGGTGCTCTGTTTAACTCCAAGAACACCTCCCCCCAACCCCACCCCCATTCAGGTGTTTACAGAACCTGGACCTCAATCCGCCAATGCAAGAATCTCAAGCCACAAACTGTACGCTCTCATGTTGTTCCAAGCACAAGTGTACCAGGGGTTCTCAGATTTGAACAACTCTTCATGACATTTCCCTATTTTGGCCACACCATCCTTTGACTATCTGATATTACAGTCAAGTATTTGAATTAGGTTTATTGTCATGTGTACTCAAGTACAGGAGTACAGTGAAAAGACTACAATGTCGTCCACATGGCACCATCTAAGGTACAAAGTGCCGAGCTACAAATCTTAATATACAAAATAGAGAAATAAAGAAAAAAGTTACATTACCTTACAGTTATTCATAATATCAGTTAGAAAAATAAGAAATAAAATTAAAAAGATATATATTACAGTCTTTCTATAAAGGGTCTGCAGTATATCAGCACAGGGGCATTCACACGTGGTCTGACAGGTCAGTCGTTTTGATATCTGCAGAATCTGGGCTTACCTGTGTGTAGAATGCAAATATCCTGAGGTGACGGATTGGAGCAAAGAACAACACAGGAACCACAATCTCCAGCACAAACACAATGACCACGCTGAACTTGTGAAACCAAGATGGCAGCTGATGTGCAAACCAAGCAAAAGAGGTGGGGATGCACTGTGTCTCGTAGTGGTATGTCAGAGCTGCAAGGAGATCAGCAACATAAATTTAATGAGTTCTGATGAAACATCATCACACCTGAAACATTTACGCTCTTCCTCTCTCCACAGATGCTTCAAGACTTGCTGAGGATCAGCATGGTTTATTAATTTCAGCATGCACAATAGTATACTTTGTACAGTGTTTGCACTTGACATTTTTCAGGTTCACCATCAGCAATCCACCCATATGTGGATAACATACCCAAAATCAGGAGCTCATTGTTCGTGTATGGAATAACTGCTATGATATGGGAATAAAATCCCCATGAATGGGTGGGACATGCATATCTCTGATCTCCTCAAAGATCAATTGTAAACACCAGTGAGAACGGTTGCATAAAAACCAAGAAATTCTGATACTTTGCACAAAATACAGGACTGAACAACATCCAGTCTTTAAAAAAAAAACCAAATCTCTAGTGCTTCTTGCAATACTAAAAATAACAAATGGCAAAAACATTGCCCAACCCAAGATAACTTGTGCTTTTATAAGCCAACTTTCCATTATCTGGCCAAATCTAACCTCAGTAAAAGGTCCACAAACCAGGTAATTGTTTTGCTGCTTTACTTCAGACACTGTGTTGCTTTATAACTGGATAGCAACACCAATAGTTCACCTCTGACTCCTGCCCCAGTTACGATTCAAGGAGAAGCATTGGAACCACCAAAATCAGACGCTGCCCTCTTGGTTATGTGCTGTGTGTATCTGACCCTTACCATTGATTCCACAATCAACTATATCTTTCAAATATATCATATGTAAAAGACCACAACAATGTTCTCCTGAACCTTGATTGTCTCCAGCTGATGGGATGCACGGGAAACACTTCCAGATATGGGTGCAAGGTTGAACAGCACGGCTTTTTTTTGTAACAGATAATGTTGAATTGATCTTGGGGCGGGCTGCATCTGGCCAGTAGTACAATTAGTTGGGGTGGTACTGGTGTATATCTAACTGCAGTAACATTTACTCACCTGTTAGACCCCACCATGTGGGGCATCGACTGGTCAGTTTCACCACGCCTGACGCAAACATTAACCTGAAGAAAAGCCATCGCACCAGCCAGAACGTGATGCCATCATGGTGCCGTACAGGTGTTGCACGCCATTTCTTCAAGTGTAGTGGTGCCACTATGATTGCCAGGAATCCAGTCTCCAGTAGCAAACTATCCCTACAAAAATCAGTGAGGTGCTAGTTACAATACATGATTCACCTCTTTACACACTGTCCACTGCTTAGCCCTTGCATACTGTTCACACCTTTGCACACTGTTCCCTGCATGCATATTGCACGTGGATCACTCCCTGACATGCTGTTCTGTGTCCCTCGCACACTGTTCCCTCCTGACACATTGCCCCTCACCAATACACTTGCACACATTCTGGGAGAAGGTAATAGGGGATGAGATGGACTCACCATTGAAAATAGAGGAAGACTTGTCCAACCTGGAGAAATAAAAGGTGAATCATTAACACTTTGAGAGATTGCCCCCTCATTGAACATCTTCCCCCTCAAAAGCTCAAGCCTGGAACCCAAGATCACAGATCAACTCCTCCCAATCCTTACCCCACTGGTGATCAGTTTTTGTTGCACAGTTTAAACTCTCTCTCACCAGATCATGTTGCTCTGGGTTTTGCTGTCACCTCACTTTGGAATTCAGGCCTAAATCTCAAAAAAGATTGGCTCTTGGCCCAATCTCTAACATGCCACAAACCTGACCCAGAAGCTGACCTGTTCCATGCCCATGCCTGGAATTGACAAAACATACATGAACATGAGTGGAACAAGCTCACAGACATGGATGGGAAAGATACATTACGCCAATACACAAGACACATACATAGTCCTGCCAAATTTGTTGTGCCACAGTTGGCTCTGCTGCAGGGGAGAGGAAGAATAAGTATGAGAAGGCCATCATAATAAGGAATTCAATTGCAAGGGAAATAGATAAATGTTTTTGTGGCCCCAAGCAAGACTCCAGAATAGCACTGTGCGCAACCCCCCCCACCCCCTTCAAGTGGATGGATTAGTCAAGCAGACAGAATAAAATGGATACTTTCTCGTGGAATTAGAGGCTTGGCTGCAGGGTGACCAGGGATGGGAACTGAATATCCAAGGGTATTCCATTTTTAGGAAGGACAGACAAAGAGGAAAAAGTGGTGGGGTAGCATTGCTAGTTATAGATTACATTGATGTAACAGGAGAGATATTACCTCTAGTGTAGTAGGATCTGTATGCGTACAGCTTAAGAAATATCAAGGGACAGAAAACAACAGTGGTTTGTATTTAGACCCCAATACTGCAGCAGTAATGTTGGAGGAAAGCATCAAACAGGAAATGAGAGAAGGAAGCAATAAAGATACAGCTCTAATTATGGGCGACTTTAATCTGCATGTAGATTTGGCAAGTCAAATCAGTAACAATATCAGGGAAGAGGAATTCCTGGAGACTGCACGAGATGGTTTTTTGGATTAATACATTGAGAAACTAACTGGGAGACAGGATATTGTGTAATGAGAAAGGAACAATTAGCACTCCAACTGGGAGGCCCCTTGGGAAACAGGGACCATTCCCGCCTTCCTGACCTGTCCGTCCTTTCTCCCACCTATCCGCTCCTCCCACCTCAAGCCCCACCCCACCTCCTACCTACCAGCTTCATCCCCACCTCCTTGACTGTCCGTCTTCCCTTGACTGACCTACCCCCACCCTAACTGGCTCCATCCCCGCCTCCTTGACCTGTCTATCTTCTCTCCCCCTATCTGCTCCTTTATCCACCTTCCATTCGCCTCCGCCCCTCTCTCTATTTATTTCAGAATCCCCTTCCCCTCCCCCATTTCTGAAGAAGGGTCCAGACCTGAAACGTCAGCTTTCCTGCTCCTCTAATGTGGCTTGGCCTGCTGTGTTCATCCAGCTCTACACCTTGTTATCTCAGATTCTCCAGCATCGGCAGTTCCTACTATCTCTCTCATAATATGATGTAATTCTTCATTAAGATGGAGAGTGATATATTTGATTCTGAATCCAAATAGAGATAACTACCTTGGTACAAGGTGCGAGCTGGCTATGATAAATTGAGGAGCATTACTTAAAGGGATGACAATGCATAGGCAAGGGCAAACATTTAGAAAGTACATGGAGGAACTGCAACATTTGTACTTTCCTATCTGGCACAAAAACAAAACTAGAAAAATGGCTGTGGCATGGCTAAATGGGGAAATTAAGGATAGTGTTAGTGTTACGAAGTTGGGTAGAGAATTCATGAATTGGAAGGCAGGAAGTTAGAATTTGTTGATAAAAATGAGCGTGGGGTAAAGATTGCCACAGTCCCTTTAAGAGCTTGTGCTTTGTCTGCACTTCGAAGTTTATAAATGTAGGTGCACAGCAAGTGCCCAGATGGAAACATTTTGTATAGAACAGACAAGCAGCACTTTTTCCAAGACAATAAGTCTGAATTTGGCCAATTAATTTAAACGAAGCACCTAGATACGGAAAGCCAATGAGTTTAAATCTGATGGTGTTGACAACCTGAAACCAAACACATTATAAGAATTTGATTATGTCATTACGGGTATCTCCGATGAGGGCATTTGGAAAATCGGGGAGAGCCAACTGCCACCTGAACAGAGAGCCATCTGCCAGAGTTAGCACCATTCAGTTCTCAGAGAAAACCCATCTAATTAATCACAGGTATCATGGTGTTTTAGCTCCAAGTCCTCATTGAAGAAATTGTAGAGATAAAACATCCCTGACTGCAGAATTAGCGGAAGAAATGCATTTGTCAAGAGAGCTGAGATGACAGAATATTCCAGAAGGCAATCTGTGCGAACGTGGAGAGATTAAGTTGTTCTCTTATTAACTGGGTTTATTCAGTGGGACTTGTGTTTATTTGAACAGTATTCCAGTAGAATTTAGACCAATTAATAAGTAGTTAGTAATTTAAGGGGGAATTGTCAGTTTGTTAATAATTCTGTTAATTTGTTCATTGTTGGGTTAAATAAATAAATTGTTTCTTATTACTTGTAAAGTGGAGATCAAAGATTTTCTTTCTTTTAGCTACTCTTTTTTAATAGATTACGAGGGGAAAGACGAGCTTCTCTGGGTGTTTCGGGGGTAATTAATAGAGGGGAACCCCCAACTCCCTTTGTAACAGATTGGGGTGTGTGTTTTAGTTTAATTATTAGAGGGGTTTGGCTATTCCCCTTCCGTAACAATTAGATCCAAAGAAAGGGCATGGAAATTGGCCAAAATGAGCAACAGACTCAATGATCAGGAGCAGTTTAGATTTCAGGAAAGGAGGACAATGGGATTGATTAAGAAGAAAAATTGAGTATGGGAGTAAGCTTGCAGGGAACTTACAAACTGATTGTAAAAGCTTCTATAAGTTTGAGAAGAGAAAAAGATTAACAAAGACAAATCTAAGTCCCTTACATTACAATCAGAAACAAGGTAAGTTATAATGGGGAAACAAAGAGATAACAGACCAATTAAATACATATTTTAGTTCCATCTTCACAAAGGAGGACACAAATAATGTTTCAAAAATGTTGGGAACACATGGTCTAGTGAGAGATAGGAGCTGAAGGAAATCAGTATTAGTAGGGAAATGGCATGGGAGTCATTGATGGGATTAAAGGTCAATAAATCTTCAGGGCCCAACAATCTTCATCCCAGAGTACTCAAGGATTTGGCTCTATAAATAGTGGTCATCTTTCAAGATGCTATAGACTCTGGAATAGTTCCTATGGATTGGAGGATATCTAATGTAACCCTTTGATTTAAAAAAAGGAGGTAGAGAGAAAAACAGGGAATTATAGACCAGTCAGCCTGGCATTAGTAGGGAAAATGCTAGAGTCCATTTTAAAAGGTTTAATAGCAGAACATTTGAACAACAGTGACAGGATTAGACAGAGTTTGGATGAATTTATGGAAGGAAAATTAAACTCCACAAAACTACTGGAACTTTTCCATAATGTCACTGTTAGAGCTGCTAAGAGGAAACCAATGGATGTAGTTGATTGGACTTTCAGAAGGTGTTTGATAAGGCCCCACGTAACAGTTTAGCACATAAAATTAAAACGCTTGGGAATACGGATAGAGTGCTGACTGGATAGAGGACTGGCTGACAGACAGGAAATAGCAGGAATAAACTGGTCATTTTCCAAGTGACAGCCAGTGGGTGACTAGTTGGGTACTGCAGGGATCAGTGTTTGGACCCCATCTATTCATAATATAGGGGGCTCTGTTATAACTTGTGTTCCAGCAATGCGAATTGGCTACAGTGAGAATGATGAATAGGGGAACGCTATTTCTAAAACACGAACTTGTGTTGGCTACCACGTGATTTCATCGGTGTGCAGAAGACTTAAAGATTAAGCCTGTAATGGTGTACCACTTTGCCAGCCCGTGAGCCTTGAGAGGTTACCTTAAGTCTACTCTAGGCATGTACTTTAGGTCAAACAAAACAGGTTGGATGATGGGGCAAATTTTTTCTGACTTTATTGTTGGTGTTTTGGAAGATGTTTTTAGAAAGTATTGCAGGAAAAAAAATTTAGATTTCAAGATTCTCCTCATCCTGGATAAAGCATCAAGCCATCCTCCCACAACTGGTGATCTTTCTGAAAACATCAAAATACTATTTCTACCCCCAAACACAACCTCTCTCCTTCAACCCATGGACCAGGGTGCAAGAGCAGTTTTTAAAGCTTATTATTTAAGGCGCACATTTAACAGGCAGCTTGCAGCCACTGAGGGGGATAAGGACAGTGTTCTTCAATTTTGGAAGAGCTTTAACATCAAGGACACAATTGACATTATCGTGGAGGCCTGGGGTAATGTCAGTAAGGACTGCTTGCATGCAGTTTGGCGGAAGCTTCTCCCAGACGTCTTTCAAGATTTTAAAACCTTGATCTGTCAGAGGAGCATCTAAGAATCAAAGAACATTGTGTTGATCTTGCAAAGCAAGTTGGATTTGAAGAAGTGGAGAGTGAGGATGTTGAACAGCTGCTTGAATCCCACTGTGAAGACCTCCCCACAACCAATCTACAATAACTTGTTGCTGAGAGGCAAGTGGAAGCTGAAGATGAAGTAGTAGTAGTCTAGGATGCAGCTCCATGAGAGCTTTCCACTCATATTTTGTCTTCCATCCGGAGGGAAATTGAGAAGCAGTTGCAACTCTTAGAGGACAACAATTACAATGCAGAACGCAGCAGGGTAGCAATTCGTGGAATAAGATCTTATTTGGCACCCTATGAACAGCTACTTCATGAAAGAAGAAAAAGAGCAAAGCAGCAAAATCTGGATGTCTTTAAGCCAACATCAAAGAAACAATCAGGGGACAATGAACCACAGCCATCCACTTCTGGATTAACAATTTGTCGCCCTGACCCTGCAACCACAATTGCACCTGAAGGTGATGATGATGACAACCCTCAGCCCCTGCATTAACAACAGAGTAACCTCAAAACCTCCTCCCCCATCAAGTCATCTTGACATTTTTTCAAGATAAGGTGTTAAATTTACATTTATTTCATTGTTAGATATGAATAAAACATTTATTCAAAAAGTGTGCTATCCTTTCTGTTAAGCTTTTGAGTGATTTTTGAGCGATTTTTAGTGAAATTTTGCTGGTCTGCCCCTAACCCTGCTTTTCCCATAGGCCCTGTTTTTGTATCGCATGATTTTCTATAATGCAATGTTGCACAGGAACACAACTATTGCCCTATAGCAGAACCCCCTGTATATATAAATGTAATATCTCCAAGTTTGTAGATGACAGAAAATTGTGAGGGAGGGTGAACTGTAAGGAGAATGTAGAAATACTTTGGGCAATTTGTGATTTGGGCAAGTTGAGTGAGTGGGCAAATGTATGGCAGATGAAGATTAACGTGGATAAATATGCAGTTATCCACTTTAGTAGCAAAAACTGGAAGGCAATCAGCTGAATGGCGACAATTTCAGAAAAAGTAAGGTGCATTAAGACCTGGGCGTCCTTGTGTACTAGTCACTAAAAGTAAGCATGGAGGTGCGGTAGGTTGTGTAAAAGGCAAATGGTATGCTAGTTTTCATAGTCAGAGGATTCGAGTACTGGAGCAGGGATGCCTTGCTACAATTGTACAGTGCCTTGGTGGGACGACACCTGAAGTATTGTGTGCTGTTTTGGGCTCCTTATCCCTAAGGACGCTCTGGTTATGGAGGGAGTGCAACAAAGGCTTACCAGATTGATTCCTGGGATAGTAGGATTAATGTATGAAGATAGACTGAATTAGTTAGGACTATCCTCACTGAATTTAAAAGAATGAGGAGGAACAGAGTCCAGAGTGAAGAAACAAAGAAGTTAGACAGACAAAGGGATTGTTCATAGTAAGCTAGGGAAGAGGAGAAGCTAGATATGTGGTAATGGGAGAGGCGTTGGCCTAGTGGTATTATCGCTGGACTGTTAATCCAGAGACCCAGGTAATGTTCTGGGGACCCGAGTTTGAATCCTGCCATAGCAGATGGTGGAATTTGAATTCAACAAATATCTGGAATTAACAGTCTGATGATGACCGTGAATCCATTGTCAATTGTCGGAAAAACCCATCTGATTCACTAATATCCTTTAGGGAGGAAACTGCCATACTTGCCTGGTCTGGCCTACATGTGATTCCAGACCCACAACAATGTGGTTGACTCTTAACTGCCCTCTGGGCAATTAGGGATGGGCAACAAATGCTGCCTAGCCAGTGATGCCCTCATCACGTGAATGAATAAAAAAGAAACTCAGAATCCAATAAAATTCTATCAGGATGAGACAGGTAAACACAGGAAGGATATTCCGAATGACTAGTGACTCCAGAACCAGAGGTTACAGTTTAAGGATATGCAATAGGCCATTTAGGACTGAAATGAGGAAAAAGTTCTTCATCCAGAGAGAGGTGAGCCTTTGGAATTTTCTGCCACATAAAGCAGCTGAGGCCAAAACATTGAATGTTTTCAAGGAGGTAGGTATCTTTCTTAGGGCTAATGGGATAAAAGTATATGGGGCAAAAACATGAAGAGGCCACTGAATAGGATGATCAATCATGATCATACTGAATGGAGAAGCTGGTTCAAAGGACCAAATGGCCTATTCCTGTTCCTATTTTCTATGTTTCAATATGCACACCCACCTGGTACAGTGACAGGTAGAGGAACCACAGGCATGCAAAGATGAAGCAGTCTCGGAGAGGCTTTGCCACCAGAGCAATGATGGACAGGCTGATGCCCAGTAAGCAAATGAACTCCATGCCTTGCGCAGTGTCAAGCCCAAGCCAGGGGCATAACCACAGTAATGTTGGAGAATCCATCAGCTGTTCAACCAGTGGCTTTCCAGTGAAGGGCAGCATCCTGTGGACTGGTAGAATTCCTTCCTTCCCATAGAGTCCTGTCAGAAAAGTAAAAAGTCATAATATTATTAATAATAGAAACAAGCATGGTTTGTGCCATAGGACCCTGTTCAGTCCATCATGATCGTGTGAGCCAACAGAGTGTTATCTGGTCTAATCCTAATTCTCAATTAAATCTCCCCGTAGCATTTTCTGTTTCAAGCGACTCCAACTTATGAAAATAAAACAAAAAACTGTGAATGCTGGAGACCTGAAACAAACAAACAGAAATTTCCAGAGAAACTCAGCAGGTCTGGTAGCATCTGTGGAGAGAAAACAAGAGTTAACATTTTGAGTCCAGTGACCCTTCTTCAGAACCAATGGCAGCTACGAAATGTTGGTATTGATGCTGATGAAAGCATGGCTAGTGGTGGCAGTGGTGAGCGGATAAGTGGAAACGGAGTCCAGAGTGAAGAAACAAAAAAGTTAGGCAGACAAAGGGATTGTTCCTAGTAAACTGGTGAAGAGGAGAAGCTAGATACGTGGTAATGGGGGCTGTAAGTAGTGGAAAATGGCTGTACTGGAAACAACCCAATTCAAGACAGAATCTGGAATGTGGATGTAGGTAATAGACATGGAAGCTGTTGCTCATGCTCTGAAATTATCATCATAGAATCCCTACAGTGTGGAAACAGGCTCTTCTGCCCAACGAGTCCACACCGACCCTTGGAGCATCCCACCTAGTCCCATCCGCCCCATAACCCACCTAATCTACACATCCCTGAACACTACGGGCAACTTAGCATGGCCAATCCACCCAGCCTGCACATCTTTGGACTGTGGGAGGAAACTGGGGCACCTGGAGGAAACCCACGCAGACACGGGGAGAATGTGCAAACTCCACATAGACAGTCACCTGAGGGTGGAATCGAACCCGGGTCCCTGGCGCTGTGAGGCAGCAGTGTTAATCGCTGGGCCACCGTGCCACCCCCTTATTAAACTTGATATCAAGTCCTGAAGGCTGTTACAGGAGATGAGGTGTTGTTCCTCCAGATTGCGTTGAGTAATATTGGAGCACTACAGCAGGCCTGAGACAGAGATGTATGCTGAAGTGGCAGGAAACTGAAAGTTCAAGGAGATTTTTGCAGATGGATATAAGTGTTCTGCAAAGTGGTCATCTGGTCTGTGCGTCATCTCCCCCGTTTACAGGAGACCGCAATGTGAGTGGCAAATACAGTAGATGAGATTGAGTGCAGTGCAGGTAAATTGCTGCTCCTATTGGAAAGTGTGTCTGGGGCCTTGGAGAGAGAGGAGGGAGGTAAACAGGAAAGTGTTGCACTTTCTGTGATTGTATGGGTAGGGTGTGTGGGGAGTGGAGGAGTTGGACCAGGTTATCCTTGAGGGAATGGTTTCAATGGTAACAAGGGAGGGGAGGGGAATATGTGCCTGCTGGTGGTGATGAAAATGTCAGCTGATGATCCTTTGGATGCGCAGCTGGTAGAGTAGAAAGTGTGGACCAGAGGGACACTATCGTTGTTGTGGGAGGGGAGTGAAGGGGTGTGGGCAGAAGTGTGGGAAATGGGTTGGACAGTGAATCTTCGGTTAAGGAAAGAGGTGAACATTTGAGGCCCACCCTGCAGAAGGTGGCATCATTAGAACAGATATGACAGAAAACTTGGTGAATAGAATGGAATCCTTACAGGAAGCAGGAGTGAGGATGTATAGTCAAGATAAATGCGGGTGTCGGCAGATTTGCAACGGATATTGATGGCCAACCTACCCTCGAGGTGGAAACAGATGTCGAGGAGGGAAGGAAGGAGTCAGATGTATTAATGGTGCTGCTTCCCTCTTTTGTCTGGAATTGGAAAAATTTATCAATTTTGCTTCCAATTTCAGCTTGTCATTTCTGCCTCCTCCTTTCCATTCTTTGACATCTCGTTCCATTTCTGGCCATTTAATGTGTATTCCCCTGCCTTGTTAGGCTTCTCTAAATGGTTATCTCTCACCTGTCCACACTGAATTCCACCTGCCACTTTTCTACCCACCAATCAGTCCACAGCTTTTGGCTTCCACTATTAACAACATGTTCAGTCTTTGTATCCTTGCAACCTTTTTAAGCATGCCCTCTCGATTTACTCTAAATTAGTGATTTATAACACAAAGAACAAGCAATTTAACACTGAACCCTGTGGAACACAGCTGGAAAAGCCTTTCCAGTCACAAAAACAACATGGATCATTGTCTTTTATTTCCTGCCCAAAGTCAATTTTGAATCCAACTTGTCATTTGAATCTCATGGTTTTTACTTGAGGCCACTTTGCATTAGAAACTTGTCAAAAGCCTTCCCAAAATTAATCAGTTGTGCCACTTCCTCAAAAAAATTCAGTAAAGTTAAATAGACTTATCCTTTCCTCAACACATTTCTGCTGTCTTAAATAAATGTGCCTTTAAATGACAATTTATATTGTGCCTCAGAATTTTCCCTAATAAATTGCCCAGCATTGAGTTTAGGATGGCCTGCCTGTAAGTACTTGATCAATCTTTTTCTCCCCGTTTAAACAATGGTAGAACCTTGGCAGTCCTATATTTGTAACCAGAGAAGACTGGAATTATTATGGTCAGATCCACCATAATTTCCTCAATTGCTTCTCCGGGCAGCCTATAATGTACATAATTTAGGCTCAGTTATTTACTGACATTCAAAGATTCCACTGCTCTTAAAGTTTCCTCTCTATGTTTATTCTGTTCAATATTTTATATTCCGTAACTCTGAAATCACTTCTTTTATTTTGTGGAGGCGAATGCAAGTTATTAATTAAGAACCATACGCTTGACTTTGGCATCTACACACATTATACCTTTCTAGTCTCTAAAAGGCCCTACACTGTTGGCTATCTGTATAGCCTTTATGTGTTTCTGAAAAAAAAATTGTTTTTTCAGCCAAACTATATGTATTGACAAATTAGCTTTGATGATTCTCTCACTTTGCTTTTCAAATGTCCTGTCTAGGTTTGCCCCTGACCTTTCTACAATTGTCTCAGTTACTACGTTACTGGGTTCTTAGCTGTTGCATGCTGTTTGACATTGAGGTTAGCCTGTATTTGGAACTCCTAAACCTTATCTCTACAGGAGTGTATTTATGCCAAATCCTCTGTCTCCTTCATGTATGCCTCTCATTGTTCTGACACCGATTTATCCTCGAGTAGCTGTTTCCAGTCTTTGCCGAATCACATCTCACAACTTTTACTTTTGTGGCTACTTTGCATTAGAAGCTTGTCAAAAGCATCCAAAATCAATCAGCTGTGCTACTTCCTCAAAAAAAATTCAGTGAAGTTAATAACTGTAGTAAAATTGGTCTGAGGATAAGATCACAGAAGAATGTCATTCGGTGTATGTGCATGGTCTCTGAACAAGCATGTCACCTAGTGACATTTCCCAGTGTTGTGTAAACCTGCACATCATTCCTTTTCAAAATAATAAAACTAATTTTTGAATATCTTGTTTCAAACTGCCTCCACCACTCTCCAGTCCATTCCAGACCCTAACAACGTACTGCGTGCAAAAGCTTTTCCTCGTAATTTTCTCGCTTAACAATTACTTCAATCTATACCTTCTATTTCTTGATCATTTCAGGAGGAGAAACAGTTTCTTCCTATCAATTCTGTTCAGACAGATCTAAATTTTGAATGCCTTTATCAGACCTCCTCTTATCCTTCTCTTGTCCAAAGGAAGGAGTCCTAACTTCTTCAATCTATCTTTACAACTCAAATTAATTTCCCTAGAACTAACCTTGTAAGTCTCAGCCCTCTCCAATGCCTTCACATCCTTCCTAAAAAGTAAAACTGCCATTGTCCTGGAGGACCATAGGGCTGCTCTCTCATGATAGAGACAAGACTGGTGGTGAATTTAACCTGAAGATCAACACGTCTCAGGTAAAGGGAGGGGTTGACAAGTTGGGTCCTTCATGGTAACCTTGCTCTGCATTTGTAAGCCAGCTGTCCAGCCAACTGAGCTAACCAACCTCGTTCTTTCTAAACTGTGACACCAGAAACTGTCACAATAATCCAACCGAGGCCAAACTAGTGTCTTATGCAAGTTCAATGTAATCTCAAGTAAAAGCAAAATATTAAGGATGCAGGAAATCTGAAATAAAAACAAAGTGCTGGAGAAACTGAGCAGGTCCAGCAGCATCATTGCAGGAACAGAGTTAATATTTTCTAATCAAAGGTTACAAAGGGACATTGATAGAATGCAGAGATAGGCTGAGAAGTGGCAGATGGAGTTTAACCCTTAAAAGTGTGAGGTGATTCATTTTGGAAGGACAAACTTGAAAGCAGAATACAGGGTTAACGGAAAGATTCTTGGTAGTGTGGAGGAGCAGAGGGATCTTGGGGTTCATGTTCACAGTTCCCTGAAAGCTGCCACCCAGGTGGATAGAGTTGTTAAGAAGGCATATGGTGTGTTAGCTTTCATTAATAGAGGGATCGAGTTCAAGAGCCGTGAAGTTATGCTCCAGCTATACAAAAGCCTGGTTCGGCTACATCTGGCGTATTGTGTCCAGTCTGGTTGCCTCGTTACAGGAAAGATGCAGAAGCGTTGGAAAAGGTGCAGAGGAAATTTAGCAGGTTGTTGCCTAGAATGGAGGGAAGGTCTTACGAGGAAAGGTTGAGAGAGCTAGGGCTTTCCTCTTTAGAACAACGAAGGATGAGAGGTGACTTGATAGAGGTATACAAAATGATCAGAGATATAGATAAAGTGGACAACCAGAGACTTTTTCCTAGCGTGGAGGTAGCTATTACAAAGGGGCATAGTTTTAAAGCGAGTGGAGGTAGATATAGGGGAGACGTCAGAGGTAGGTTCTTTACTGAAAGAGTGGTCGGGGCGTGGAATGCATTGCCAGAGAGGGTAGTGGAGTCGGCCTCATTAGGGGCATTTAAGCAGCTATTAGATAGTCATATGGATGATAGTATGAGGTAGGGGTGGAAGTTAGATAGATCTTATGATTAGGGTAAAAGTTCAGCACAACATTGTGGGCCGAAGGGCCTGTACTGTGCTGTAAAATAAAAATCATATTGTACTCCAAATGTTTCTCTTTCCACAAATATTGAGGAGTTTCACCCTCTGATTTGCTTATTTCAATATAATTTCCTTGCTGTTGCACTCTATATCCCTGTTAAAAGCCTTTATCATACCTGAAATTGGCCAGTGACAAACAAAAAATCCAAGAAAAGGGAGTGGACAATGTGAGAAAGGAAACTTGCTACTTTTAGGATCTGGCTGCATGTTAACTGGTTGACCTGTTTCCTTCACCACAATAGTTATGTTTTGAAAGTCCTTTTGGATATCTTCTTAATGGGAAAGGCACACAGCCTCAGCTAAACAGCCCAATCACAGTCCCATACTGGCAAACAGCTCTCTTCCAATCACAGCTGCCATCTGATCAGAATGGAGTTCAACTGATCCTACGATTCAGAATCTCACCCTTGCAGGTGAAGCACAATATTCTGACTGCTGACCTGTTGTTCTCACTGGTAGATGATTCAGGAAAAACTGTGCATTCAAATGAAAACTTCAAATCCTCACACACACCAGTGATATTTGGGGGAGGGAGGTTTCACACACCAAAATCTTACAGACCTTGGAGATTGGAAACAGAAGTTGAAGGTGCTGAAGAAAATCAGCATGTCTGATAGCATCTGTAGACAGAGTGAAAGAGAATACGTTGCTTGTCCAATACGACTCTCATTGAACTCAATGTTATTCTCTTGCTCTCTGTACAGCTACTGCCACACCTGGTTTTCTTCAGCACTTTGTTTTTACTTGGGAAGCTTAACCTTCCCTGGAAAGAAAGGTGATGGAAAAATAAGAGAAGAGATGCATAGTGCACTCATGATGTTCAGAGAGTTGGGAATAAAACGCCTAGCAGGTTTCTTCTTTAAGAATAGAAGAATTCATGGGATGGTGGCTTTGCTGTTTGGACTGGCATTTATTGCCCATCATCTTCAGGGCAACCAGGAATGACGTTGAGCTGCCTTCTTTAATCTCAATAGTGGATAGTTCACAGTATGGAATAGTTTCAGTGAACTGACTGCAATAGTCATTTCCTAAACACTATTCCCTGCGTGCACATCACACAACTCAAGTCTCGCACCAATATAACCATACAATCTGAAGAAAAGTCGCACCAAACTCGAAACGTTACTTCAATCTCTCTCTCCACATATGCTGCCAGATCTGCTGAGTTTCTCCAGCATTCTGTGTTTGTTTTAGCTTTACAGCATCTGCAGTGTATTGCCGTTAACCATAGAATGGCTCTGCGACACCAGAGACCCCAGATCAAAGTCTAAACTGCACCACCTCATAAACACAAAAATGCACTCTGTCAACATTAACAGCAACAACTCTTTCCAAAATGCCAGCCAACACTAACACACTCGATGCTGTTTTGGAACTAAACGAATTATTCCACTTCAGTCGGTTTCCTTCCATTAACCACACCTCTCCCTTCTCCATGAGGCTCCTTCACCCAACACCCGCCAACTGACTACATCCTTCACCGAGACATACCTTTTAAAACCCAGAATATCAGGGTCATCACCGTTACCTGGGATTTGTACATAAAGTGAGGTGAATGCACACAAGTAAATAGCAATCGTGCCCCAGAGGAAAGCTGCCCGCGACAACACAATCTCCCCCATCCCGAAGCTGCAGGCCTGGACATAACCACTCTCAACATTGCGGGGGGGTGATCAATAGGTCCAATCCAGAACAATTCCATTATATCGACACCCAATATAGCTCAGATTGCGTCACGAGTTAAAATAGTAAAGCATTTTTAAATAAATAACCAGATTAGCCACGGTCTTCGTTTTTTTTGACTTTAAGACGTTTCTAAAGTTACTGTTCCCTGTTCCCGGAATGGATTGCTCTAAATCGTTACCATCTTTCTGCATTTGCAGCCTGTACCATCATAGCGGAAGGGGAGATCCTCTCTAAACATCCGAAAAAAAACCAAAACAAAGTAATAATTTTAAATAAACATTTAAACGCACGTTAAAAATTTAGCGATCTGGTTTTATTACGATGGAAATTCTTTCAAATTCTGTTTTCTTTCCTCTTACTCGTACTCTAATGGTTGAGTCCGTGTCGCGCATGCGCATTCGGTAGTTTGTACCTGCGCGGGAAAAACAAAAAATGGCGCTGGCCTAAAAACGGGTAAAATAAAACAATCAGAGAGAAGGAGGAAATATTCAGAGAAAAGAGGGGAATATTTAGAGAACTGGATTTATAATATTCGTACTTGAGGAATGTGGAATGTAGCTAGACACGGTTCTTCGGTGGGGGGTGAGTCTCGGTTTGTCAGTGTCAGTTCGAATCTCCTTCTTTGTTAAATATAGTTTCTTTGAGATTTCTGTGATTGTATTCTTGTTCGTTACAGTTTCTTGTGTTCTGGTTTTGAAGAAGGGTCCACTTCAATCATTTACTAATTTATTCCCTACAGTGTCTGATTGAACCACTTCTGTTTACTGCAGTTACTGGTTTACTTCTTGGTAGCAACAGAAGTCAACTTGTCTTTAATAATATGATGTAACAGAAAAATAAAATGTGCAATATATTAGAATGGACCATTGTCATTTATTGCAAAGGGCTTTGGTACGCAAACGTTGGGAAATTTCATTATAGTTGTACGGCCCTTGGTGAAACCAAGTGTTGTAGACAGTTTGGTCACCTGAACAAATAATGTAATCGTATTGGAAGCGCAGAGAACGTTCACTCGATTGATTTCTGAAATGAGGAAAGTATGGGCTGGTAGGGCTTGTGTACCTTGGAGTTTAGAAGAATTAGAGCGTATCTTGTTAAAATATATAAGATACTGAAGGCAATGGGCAGGATGAATGGTGACAGGACGAGAGAGACTCGGACTAGGAAACACAGTTTTAAAGTAAGAGGTTTCCCATTTAAGATGGAGATTGATGAGAATTATTTTCCTGAGCAGGTCATTAATTTGAGAGAGCAGTGGAGACATGGTCATTGAATATTTTTAAGAGTGTATTAAATATATTCTTGACTGTAAAAGAAAGTAAAGTTTTACAAGGATGTCGCTTGGACTGTAAGGTTTGAGTTATAGGGAGAGGCTGAATAGGCTGGAGTATCGAAGGCTGAGGAGTAACCTCTTAGAGGTTTATCAAATCATTAGGGGCACGGGTAGGTGAATAGCCAAAGTCTTTTTCCAAGGATGGGGGAGTCCAAAACTAGACGACATAGGTTTAAGCTGAGAGAGCATTGATTTTAAAAAGCATCTGAGGGGTGACCACTTCACGCAGAGTGTATATGGAACGAGCTGCTAGAGAAAGTGGTGGAGGTGGGTACAATTGCAACATTTAAAAGGCATTTGATTGGGTAGATGCATGGTTTGGAGAGATATGGGTTAAATGCTGGCAAATGGGACTAGGTCAGATTAGGGTGTCTAGATAGCACAGACTAGTTGGACTGAAGGGTCTGCTTCAGAGCACTATGACTCCATTAATCAAACGATGTAGGGGTAGATAGGAGCAGGTACAGGGTGCTGAATGGCCTACTCCTGCTGTTAATATGCATGTCTGTGGAACAGCTCTTCAAGGTCAGAATTCAGGACAGTCAGAAAAACTGATATGTCACAGTAATCAGTTTATTTAATTCTGTTGTGTAACCTTAATTGTTATTGTATTATTATTATCTGAGTAACGTACTTGGATGATACACTATAGCCTCAATAATGAGGACTTATTTAAGTGATTAAAAGATTTCCCAATAGACTTTTTGTTTGCTGTATAAACCGTAATTTCATGGCCTCAGATATTGGTAGCAAATTACTGACTAATGTACTCCAGGAATAGGGGAGGAACTGAGCTGCATATTCCCCATGTATTATTTTCATTTCTCCTGTTAGGATCTCTGCGTGGGGTAGTGTTGGCTAGATGAAACAGCGTGTGATCTGTTTTAAAGCTTTGAAATAACATTATTTTTAACCCTTCTTTCCCAATCATGCCTCCTCTTCCTCCGTCCCATTTTTCAGTTGCTCTTCTTGGTTCAATGATTAGTGGTTTCTTGCTTTGATTATGTATTCTTTTTAAACAAACATCTTGCCCCATCGAAGAGATGTTTGAAAAGTTCTTTTAAAGGTTTTGCAAACATTGTTTACCGTCTGTTGCTGATCTTTTGGGATTTGATTTGATTTGATTTATTATTGTCCCGTATGAGATACAGTGAAATGTATTGTTTTGTGTGCGAGACAGGCAAATCAGACCTTAATAAAGTACATTCGGGTACTAGAACAGAATACGGAATATAGTGTTACAGGTATAGAAAAGGTGCAGAGAAAGATCAACTTTAATATATAAAAGGTCTGTTCAAAAGTCTGATAATGGATGATATCAGTTCATCCACGAGAACATGACAAAAAAGGACGAGGAATAGGTATTTAGCCTGTTAAGCCTGGAGGTAGACTTTCTTTTGAATTCAAGGAGGCAGAAGTCTAGAAAATAAGAAGATTATGACTTGTTATTTTGCTTGTGGTTCGTGATCTTGTCTCCGAGCCTGTGATCTAAAGACCCTAAATATGAGGGTCCAATAACTTCCATCCCTGACACTTAGTGAGACATGGTCAGTCATGATGTCTGGGCCAGTGGCTGTCACATTCAGCTTACTGTTTATAGCAAGCCTCCAGGAATCAATAATAATGGAAGTTAGGACTAAGTGTCCTGACTCTAAACATATGTGACAGAGTTTTGAACCCATACCTGGATGCTGATGTAGTACCACCAACCATCTGGAGTCTGTCTTCACGATTCACCTAGGAAAGAAATAGCAATAGTTTATGAAGCATCCCTAGATTTCAGAGTTTCCGTATGAAATCATGATTGGAGATGAAAGTACTGTTCATGTAAAGGATAAACACCAACACAATTGACTGGACTAGATGGACCTATTCGTGTTGTAATCCTGTGTATCTTATAGTTTGTGCTTTTATAAGCACCTTCCTGTCAGGTACCTATCTAAATTCCTGTCGGAAGGAATCTTCTTCATTACATTTTAATGTTTGATATGACCATTGTCAGCCCTGTTAGTTGATTTTCTCATACAATTAAAGTTGTATTTTTTCACTTTGTGAGGAGAATGGCAAACAAAAAGGAAATTGCGGTTTTATATAGTTGGAGATTCTTCTGTAAAATGAATTGTCATATTCTAGTAACTATATCCCCCCAATCCTATGACATTACTACAGATTCTCCCGTATTTCTAGTGGTCTGACGAAGTGTAATTGACCTGAAATGTTAACTGTTTCTCTCCCACAGATGACTGCCTGATCTGCTGAGTACTTCTGTTTTAACTCCTTGTCTCAAGGGTTCTGTGCTTAGTCAAAGATGGAGGATGCTGAGTCACGATTCACACATCTCCTTCAGCCCATTAGAGAGTTGACGAAGAACTGGGAGATTGATGTGGCATCTCAGCTTGGGGAATACCTAGAAGAGGTGACGCCTTTGTATTGCTAAATTATTTGGTCTCTTGTGACACGATTCATTCCTCTTTGCTTTTCTCCCTCTCTGTCATACTTTCTGTTTTGACCCAAAAACTGTGGTGGTGAGAGTTGTAAGGGGGAAGCAAAGATGCTCAAATAGGAATTTGGAAAAGTGAAATAACTGGGCAAAGATATGGCAGATGGTTTGCAATGTGGACAAATCTGAGGTTGTCTCTGGTGGGAAGAATAGAAATACAGAGCAATTCTTAAATGGTGGGAAGTTGGGAAGTGTTGGACCTCAACCTTTGTGGCCTTGTTCGTGAAAATTAACATGCAGGTACAGTAAGCAATTAAGAAGGTAAATGGCATGTTGACCTTTATTTTAAAAGAATCTATGTACTGTATAGGAGTACATGTCTTACTGAAATTATATAGCGCCTTTAGTGAGACCACACTTGGAATATTGTGTGCAGTTTTGGTCTCCATATCTAAACAAGGATATACTTGCCATAAAGGAAATGCAACAAAGGTTAACTGAACTAATTCTTAAATTAGAGGGATTGTCCACTGAGAATAGATTAAGTAGACTGAGCCTGTATTCTGTGGCATGTTAAAGAATGATGGTGATCTTTGGACATCAAACATATAAAATATTAAATCTGGCATTTCAAAATATCCCCACTCTTAATTATTTTACCTCTTAAGTGATGAGGCATTTTTGTACCAGATTTGGGGATTCAAAATGCGTTTTTACTATTCGTGGATTTTACCTCCCAGAGTTTATGTCTATCAACAAATAACTCTGGAGGGAAAAGTATTCGATACATTGCGTCTGTAGAAGTGTTACTCAAAAAGTAATAAAGTCAATTTATTTAATTAAAAGATGTTTGAAGTATGTAAATGATGATGTTATCTTTTTCATTTTGTTACATATCTTGTTTTGAACTCTGGTAATTTCAGTTAGTGACCAACCAACTTAATTTTGGCCAAATGTATTATCTGTAAATTTTTGCTGCATTTACCCATGTTCTAATTATTTAAATGTCTTCCTTGTGGAATGGACTCCTGGGATATCCCACTTCCAACTTTTGTCCCATAGAGCAGGCTCTAGGGATGCCCCAAGTTCCAACTGTTCTTTGATCTGAGCGTCATTGAATTAACTGATTCTTGTTCCCTTTTTATCAATCGACTTTCTATCCTTTTGGCTGCAGTTGCATTGTGCAATCTTTGTGACAATCTATCTGTCTCTTGGCAGGACTCTTATGACACATCAGCAGGGTCCATACCTCTGATCCAAAAGACCCGAGCTCAAGCGTAACTGATCAGGTTGATTAGAAAATATCTCTGTCTTTTTCAGTTGGACCAGATCTGCATTTCCTTTGATGATGGGAAGACGACAATGAACTTTGCAGAAGCTGCACTCTTGATCCAGGGCTCGGCATGTATTTACAGCAGGAAGGTCTGTTTATGCCATCCTCCTCTGGTGAATGGGATGAAGTCTAGTGTGGCATGGGTGTGCACATGGGTGGGCCTGGTAGAGAAGAAGAGCAAATTGATCTGGAGGATGCTTGGGACAGGGTGGTAGGCAGAAATTTGGTTTGAGGTGAAGGGTCTGGAAGCTAATCACTGATCATTTTTGATCCTTAAATTTTTCACTAAGATGATGAAATATGCCGAAAGGGTAAAGCAAAACTTTCAAAATGTAGGTATTTAATGCATGGTTTGGAAAAATATCAGACCTGGATATGTTGTGGGTGTTGGTCTGATGACTGCTGCTAACTGGCTTGTGGGATTGATGAAATTGAATAGTATGAGGATGTTTTTCATTTCTCCACAGGTGGAATATCTGCATTCTCTGGTGTTCCAGGCGCTGGACCTGATCTCCAACAAAAAGTAAAGGATAAAAAAAATGAACTGCGAATGCTTAAAATCAAAAAAAAACCCAGACATGTCTGGGAAAACTCAGCAGATCCAGCAGCATCTGTGGAAAGAAAGCGAGTTAAAAGTTTAGGTTCTGAGGAAGTGTCACCTGGACCTGAAACGTTAACCCTGCTTTCTCTTCACAGGTGCTGCCAGACCTGAGTTTTCCCAGTAATTTCTGTTTTTGTAAAGGATAAAGAATCCTTGTAATAACTAAGCAGTACTGACTATGCTGAATGCCTTCAGGAAGTTTATGCCAAGTACCCCATATACATAAGTGTACTACAGTCACTATTGCATGGTATATTGTATAGTGTATACAACAAGATTATGCAAATATTAAAGTATTACACCTAGTGGAATATTGTTTGGTAATATATAAGGTGATTATCCAGATGCTATGTACAGTTTTGGAGCAAGATTATCCAACTAAACCATTAGTTACTGCAGGAGCATCACACCCAGTGATGTACTGTTATTACAAAAATATTACAATTCAAAATTACATTATTTCACAATCAGTAACTGAAATATTGCACATATTAAACAGATTGTGAGCCTTAACATGTGTATTACACCTGTGTCTCTGTGGGACTGTAGCACCCAGTAACAGTCTGTGCTTTGACGTGGCACAGTGGTGAGAACTGCTGCCTCACAGCACCAGGTACCTGGGTACGTTTCCACCCTCGGGTGACTGTCTGTGTGGAGTTTGCACATTCTCCCCATATCTGCATGGGTTTCCTCCGGGTGCTCCAGTTTCCTCCCACAGTCCAAAGATATGCAGCAAGGTGGATTTTCCATGGGAAATTGCCCATAGAATCCAGGATGTGTGGGAAAGGTGGATTAGCCATGGGAAATGCGGGTGGGTGGGTAGGGGGTGGGTGGATCTGTGTAGGATGCCCTTTGAAGGATCAGTGTGGACTCGCTGGGCCAAATGGTCGTCTTCCACACTCTGGGGGTTCTATGACTATGGCACTAAACAATCTGTGTCACTAAAGGGCTGTAACAACAAGTAACAATTAACGTTAACATTAGACACAGAAGAAGATTTGTCTACTTTCTCCAAGTAAAAATGCTTTTATGGTACTGTTGATGAAATGGTTGTAAATGATCTTTTTATGTTTGTTATTATAGACGGAATCAAAAAGTTACATCCATTGCTGCGGATGGGACAGATAATGATGTGTCTTTGGCCAATGACAAGGATTGGGAAGTAAGGAGCATTGACTCAGGACTTATTATTCATTAAGACTGAAATTAATTAGATATGAATGACTGAGCAAAATAATAAAGGACTTGCATTTACTTATTGCCAACAGTTGAGTAGATCCAAGTGCTGTGATTGTTATGTTGGCAAGCTGTTCCGTGAGACAAAACATTGGTGTAGGGGGACCTGGGATGATTACATTGAACCTGAAACTTAAAGGGTTTAATTACTTTGCATGGTCAAAATAAGCAAATAATATATTCCTGAAGTTGTTTAAGTCTGATTTTATATACCTATCCCTGGGAGTTAGGTTAAGCTCTGCTCTAGAGGGTTTTATATCTCTGTGACATTACATGTTTGTGCCTAATATCCTTTCACATTCCAACACCATAACAGTCATTGCTCTGGTGTATGTCATTGCACGTAAAAACAATGTTTGAATTTTCCATCTTTCCATGTTAGATATCACTAATTGCTGTATCCTTCTTTACAGTTTTTGTCTCTTGACGATATTGAGTGTCCATCAAAAACCAGCATTGATTTGCAGATAGATCACAGTTCAAATGTATGTATTCTGTGCAATTCTCCCTACCTTATTTGAAGAAGGATGTAAATATATTGGAGACAATTTAGAGGAGCTCTACTAGATTGATATATATTGTTTTATAAGAATATATTGAACAGGTTGGGCTTGTTTCCACTGGAGTTTAGAAGAGAGAGGAGTAACTTGATTGAAGTGTATAAGATCCTGATTGGACTTGACAATATGGATGTGGAAAGAATGTTTTCTCTTGTGAATTAGTGCAGAGGCAGGTGGCACTGTTTTAAAGTTAGTGTCCTTAGAGATGAGCATTCCCCCAAACCCTCCATGGCCTCAGAAGGTATGGTCATTGAATATTTTTAAGATCAAGTTGGATAGATTCTTGTGAGGAAAGGGACTTCAGGGTTATAAAGGGTTGATAGGAATGTGGAATTCAAAACACAAATAGATCAGTCATGATCTTATTGAATGGTGGAGCTGGCTCAATTGCTGAATGGCCTACTTCTCCAGTTTCATGTGTTTGTGTCTTTATTTATGATTCCTCAAATTTTCAACAGTGCAATGTGGTACTCTGTTTACACAATAGGTTATCACTGTCCCCAACACTGTTCACTGCAATCTTCACAAAGGGTAAAGACTGGAGTTCAACATCAGGATTCATCACAGGGAGATCAAAGACTGGGAAAGTGATGCATTTGGACCAAAGAAAGTTAGAATTAAAGATTAAGGGAAATTGATATCTGGATCCACAGTTCAGTAGATAATTTGCATGAGATAGAAAGTGGCAGTGAAGATAGACCAAAGACTTGAGGCCAAGCCAAGCAATATGGGGCAAAGTGTAGCAGACAGTCTGCAAAAAGCGATCAAGTAAAGAGCTGCAGTAAGTAATGGGAGCTGGGAGGTAGTGATGGAAGAAGATGATATTTGGGCATTTGAGAGTAGCAGAGCAGTATTGAAAGTGGGGGAGTACATTGAGGTAGTGTTGGACTGAGATGGTAGGAAGCTAAGTTCGGAGAATGAGTTTTCAAAGCTAACTATGACTCTGTGACTATAACTAATCTGACTGAGAGCCTGTATTGATTTATCTTGATGCTACAGGTTGTGAATATTATACCATTAACGCCGATGGCACTGGTTCCATTAGAAGAAATTGAGAAAAAGAACAACCCACTGCTGAGGTATGGAATTTGCTGTATCTCACACAGAAAGGCAGGCACCTTGTCAGTAGGCCCTGTACAGAGTGCGGAAGATCCAGTCAGTGTGTGCCAACAAACTAATTTGAAAGGCTTTCTAGCTGCCAGCCATGTGGGTTTTGAAAGCGTAAGACAACTTTATTTGAGTTGCTTTGGAGGACTCAAATTGACTTTTGCGCTGTCACTCAATACTAAATTGACTGGCTGGAGAAATAGAGGTGTCACAGTCCAACAGTATAGATGTGCTTTCAAGTCTGGAGTTAGTTACTTGAGAATTGTTTGGCAGGATCGCATAGAGAGAGCTTTTCTCTGTATCCTATCCCCTGGGGATATTTGATGCTGACATTGAGTCCCAGCTTGAAGCTTGCTTCATTTTCCAGCACTGAAATGTTTCACTTCTTTGAGAACAGCAAATTTCCCAGATTCGGGATACGTTCATGTTGAATGCTTCTTGTCAGGTGAGTTGTACTTATCAAGGAGTTCTGAGGTTGTATTCCAGGGTTTGGAGGCAGATGTTAACTAGTGCAATACTGAGTCACGTAGAATAGGAAGATTACAAGTTACCTTCAATGATGAATTTTGTTGTCTATTTGAATTAATGAGGAGCAGTGAGGATAGTAAACCAACCTAGTGACTTGTACAAATACAAATGATGTTGGGTGATGCCTAGGGTGAGATTTGGGATTAGGTATCTTCCCTCTACATTTGGTTATGGTGTTGATACTGTCTTGCCTTTCTCTCCATTCCAGAAGTAGAGAGACATTGGGGAATTATGTGAATGTAGATTTCAAAACACGCACGCAGATCGACCATGATCTTATTGAATGGCAGAGCAGGTTCAAGAGGCTGAATGGTCCACTTCTTCTATTTCATGCAAACTGGATCGTGGAAGGGATGGGACACCAGTTAGAAGATTTGAAGAAAATGCAAATGTTCTGTCCTCAGTTAATAATCTGATTGGTTTTCCATTTCACTGTAGCCGAAGAGGAGAGATCCTTGGCAGCCGCAAGGATTTCCGAATGAATACTTGTACCCCTCATGCCACAGGTGCATTCATGTTAGAGCTGGCCACTGTGTCACCGATGAGCTATCTGCACAGGCAACAGGAAGGCAACACAGAGTACAATAGGAATGGTAATTAACTGTGTGCCAACGAACAGTTTGCGCATTGTTTCGTTGCAACTCTTGCTGAGAATGAGTCTGAATATGTTACTGATCCCGATACTGTTCTATACCCCTGCAGCTTGATTATTGTCTGATTGGATAGCTGTTATTCCATTTATGTCTGGCTTGTTGCGGACTCGTGTTAAATGTTACTTATTGTGATTTGACTCAATGATTCCCTGTATTATTTGTGACCACACCTGTCATTTGAACTTTGCACCATGCTGAACGCTCTGGAGTACAGAATGATTTGCCATGGATATTTGTTTAAGTGGAAACCTTTTTGTCATTTCAAAACAAAAAGGTGGACTAATATTTAAAAAAGACAAAATTACACAGCTCTGGAAAGTGTGAAGCAACGGGATTGGTTTGGGATTAACACAAGGAAAGAGTGAGTCTGTGTGTTTATTTTAGGGTTAATACAGAATTATGGAGATAGAGCAACGAATAGGATTAGTATGGTATTAAGAGTAAAAAAGGCCTTTGGGGAAGTGAATAGGACACTGCCATTAGCTCAAAATTTATCCACAATAGGCAAAATGAGCCACTTGGCCTACTGTGCTGTTAAGCATTAACAGTTCTGTGATAATGGAAAAGTCTCGACTAGGTCACTTAGTAGCTCCACTTCCATAATTAAATCCACCTTGACTTTCTTAGACTTAAAATCTAGAGACCTGAGATTTCCTTTTGACCTTCCTAACCCTCTGAAGATCCGTCCTGTGCGTTGGTATCCTGAACCAAGCACTGTTTAAGATGGAGCTTGACTAGCATCATTAATGCAAATCTTAATGACTGTCTCCCTCTGTAAGAGATTGGTATAATCAAAGCATGAAATAAAGCTGAAAGTGTTTGGGGGGGTGGGGTGGGAAGAGATCAAATGCTCAGAATTGGGCACAATACTCCATAAATCTTCCCACAGCTATATGATCACCTGAGTCTCCAATGATCCCCTTTCTTGGCCTTCCCCTTGGCCCCTTTCTTTTCGTCTATTGCCCAAGATCTTTAGACAGCACCTTCCAAACCCATGACCACTTCAACCTAGAAGGACAATGGTCGCATATACATAGGAACACCACCACCTGCAAGTTCCCTCCAAACCATACACCATCCTGACTTGGTCATATATCACGTTTCTTCACTGTTGCTTCGTCAAAATCCTGGAATTCCATTCATAATGCATTGAGTCTACCTACAGACATGGACTACAGTGGTTCAAGAATGCAGCTCACCACCAACTTCTCAAGGGCAACTAGGGATGGGTAGTAAACGCTGGCCTGCCTGTGCTGCCCAAGTCCCACAAGAGAGTAGAAAACCAAAAATGCCCTCAGTGACATCATTCAAAAGGACACTGTCAAGTTTCATGTGTATGCCAATCATACTTGCCTCCACCACACCATCACTTCTCTTTCTTCCACTGTCCTGGTTTGCCAGATTGCTTCTCCAGTATATAACTATGCATGTCATGCCTCTCTGGGGTAGCTAACTGGAAATCAAATGCTGCCATTTCTAGAGTCGTTGTAAAATTTAAAAAAAAATTTCAAAATATGCAAAATACCCTATTTACCTTTCCCACAGATCCAGACTAACAGAAAATGTGTATCAGTTTTCGGTTGTTAACAAAAAGTACTATTTATTACACATAAATAGATCTTGTTGTTTATCTGCAGTTAGAATCTATCAACATCCAGCAGATAAAACTGTTAACTCTCCTATAAATCCCCCTACGCGCATACATAGACAAAATAATGTTGTGGTTATGGATGGAGGGGAGTAAAACTGTGAAGCAGTTTGATGGCCCCAATATACCTTCACTGAGATGATCCTGTTGCTTGCCGCGATTTCCTCTTATTCAATCTCTCTTCAGCTTCTTTTCACTTCTTCGTAGGAGGCACTGATTGTGGCTACATTAACTGCAGAACTCTTGCTTATTTATTAAATGCAGCTTATACCAACTAGAGAGGGGAAAGTCTTCGGACAACCACCTGCTGTTGCAGAAACCTGAAGACTTCTGCAAGTATCATGCACACCCACAAACTGTTCAGCCACCCAGGAGTGAATCAGATGATTGTTGAGAGGCGAGGCTTGTGGCCTTTGTCATCCACAACTCCAGAAACTGATCAGCAACCTGTTGCTATCTGAATCTCAATTTATGCACACCCCTGGTGCCAGCCTGTCTATGGCCAGCCTCCTTCACTGTTTGAACAAAGCAGCAGTGTAAATATGACACAATAATTTTCAGGAACTTGCTTTTTGAAAGTGCAGCAATTCCTTCCTCAAATTATTTGTTTTAAAACCGTCTTTTTGCATTTAAATCCTCTATCAAAATAATGGAAAAATAAAAAGAAACAATTTTAAATGGTGAACAGAAATTTTCTGCTAAATATTGGGAAGAAAATAGTCATTGTCTCTTCTTCCTTGGTTGCCACTTTCACTCTGCTCTTGGACAACTATCCGAAGCTGAACTAGATCATATGCTTGGTATTTTGTTACAGATGAACTTTGACTATATGTCTTTTTCAACAAGACTGCTTGCTTCCACCTTTGTTACATCACTCAACTCTGGTCCTGTCTAGGCCTATCTGTTGAAACCTTCATCAGGTCTTTGTTATTTCTAAATTCAGTATTCCAGCATACTTCTTCATATGGACTGTTATTTTCGATTCTGTGTCATCTTGTGGTCATCCAGAACTCTGATTTTTGTATCTTAACATGCATCTGGTCCATTTCACGAATCACCCATTTGCCCCCTGACCTACACTTCTCCATGTTTTCAGACCCTGTATGATCTTGCCCCTCTATCTCTAGTTTCCTTCAACCCAACTCTTGTGATATCAGCACCTTCAATATTGGCATCTTGCATGTCTCAAATTTACATCATTTCACCATTTGTGGCAGTTCTTTTAACTGTCTAGGTCCTAAATATTGGAATTCTCTCCTTAAACCTCTTTATCTCTTTTCTGTACTAAAGTCTCCGTGTTTAACCAAGCTTTAGTTCATCTGTGCATAACCTCCTATAAACCTATGTCAAAGTTTGGTAATTATCTTGTGAAATACATTGGGATGGTTTCATTTTTAAAGGGGCTACAAAAATGGAAGTTTTTTTTGGCAGGATATGCATTGAGTGGGGTTACAGGTAGTGCAGAGATTGGTTAGAATGGTTCCAGGGTTGAGGGGCATCATTGATGTGATGAGACTGGGAAACTTGGGTTGTTCTCAGAGCAGAGAGGTTAAGGGGAGATTTAGTTGAGTGTTCAAAATTACGAAAGGAGGCAGTGGCAATTTTTTCCATTAGCAACAGAGTCAGTAACCAGAGGGTCACAGGTTGAAGGTAATTAGTAAAAATAAGAAACGATCAGAAGATTTTCATTACATTATGTTATGATTGAGAATTCACCATCTCCAAGTGTAATGGAAGTAAATTCAATAGTTTCAAATGAGAATTGAATTAATACTTGAAGAGGAAGGAAAAATGCAGGACCAAGGTTAAAAAGCAGTGGTATGAGACTATAGTATAATTCTCTTTCAAAGAGCCAGCACAGATATGGTGGACTGAATAGTCAGCGGTGCTGTATTATTCATCGAGTTCGAATCTTAGCGTCCCTACGGTTGGAAATGGGCCCAACAAGTCCACACCGCCCCTCCGAAGAGCATCCCACCCAGACACATTCCCCTACCCCTGCGTTTCCCATATCTAACCCACCTAACCTAGACATCCCTGGACAATTTAGCACGGCCAATCCACCTACCCTGCACATCTTTGGACTGTGGGAAGAAACTGGAGCACCTGGAGGAAACCCATGCAGACACTGGGAGAATGTGCAAACATCACACAGTCGCCTGAGGGAGGAAGCGAACCTGGGTCCCTGGTGTCGTGAGGCAGTAGTGCTACCTAATGAGCCACCATGCTGCCCATTATTCTTAGAAAAAATCTGCCCTCCTTATAATTATTGACTTCAAAGATTGCTGTTAGTGCTTACTGTGTGCACAGAAGGCTGGGTGGAGCATATGATGTTGGCACAGACAGATTACCCAGCTGAAATGTGATCATTACACTGTGCATTACATCTTTACAGGCTTACAGAATGTTCAGGAGGACGTGGGCATGGATAACAGTGACTGTCAGGTGCCAGTTCCAGTATTGAACTTCTTGGACGAAGGGGGTAAGTATGCTACTCTGGAGAGGAAAGAAACAAGTTCTTTTTGAGGGTTGCTGCTTTGCCTCTTTTGCTTGGTATATTTCAGTGCCACATGGGATTGACAGACCAATCTGGTATTTCACACTAATTCATGCAAAATGAACAAGTGGTGCATTTCACCAGGTATGTGTTGCAGAAATCTGTGTTTTGTTTCACACTAATTCAGATTGTCAGTTGTGTGGCCTAGAAGGTGGTGTCTCCTGTTGTTCTGTAGGTGCCGTGCCACCTGCTGGTCCCTTGCATAAGCAAGAAAGAATGACAGCTGAGCTTTGTTTTAGCCTTGCTTAACATCGCAGAGCCCACTGATTAAAAGCAGGATACTTGAATGATTGTACTGTGTCTACGCTCAGGGATACTTAAAGTTGTTCTGTATGCAGAATGGGCAAAGTTACAAGATGCCTTTTTGTCATCTTTTGGGTAAAATCAATACTGTTCACGTTTAATCACATCTAACCCAACATGAAATACCTGCTGCAGAAGGCCGTTTAGTCAATCAGTGTCTTGTAGATGAGATACCAAATCCATGACTCACCAGCTGACAGTCTAGTAAATAAGCCCCCGTCACTGTCCTTGCTTCAATAAACTTGCAAATTGTTTTTGAAAGCACACTTCCAATTTTTTTTCTTCATTGTTTCTGTGTTATTCATGTGGTGTCACTAGAAAGACCAGCACTTGTTGCACATTTCTAATTGCCCTTGAACATAGTGACTTGCTAGGCCATTAGAGAGGGCAGTTAATAGTCAATCACATTGCTGTGGATCTGGAATCTCATGTGGCAGGCGAAGATGGCGGATTTCCTTCCCTAAAGGATGTTAATGAATTGGATGGATTTTTATGACGGTCATTGGTAGGTTCATAGCACTATTACTGAGTCCAGCTTTATATTCCAGACTTAATTGAATTCAAATTACATCAGCTGTCACTGGATTGCTAGCCCAATGTCGCTACTGCTATGCCAAACTACTACCTTCCCATTATCGTCAACAGCTAGAAATAGATTTCATCTCCTAGTGTAGAGAAACAAGCTGACTAACTCTTCTATGTGCAGCTACATTTAAAGTTGCTACAGCACGGCCAAGTTGCTGATTAAATAAGCAGAACGTAAGCATTCTTATCTGAATTCAAGCAAATCCCTAGGGTGCATGAGCATAACCTGCTTGTTTCCGTTACATCTAATTGTCTTCCTTCCTTTATGGAAGACCTTTCTGGAATTTAGATTTTGAAAGCTTGCAAAGCGTTCAAGTAATTGTTTACTGAGTATTGAAAACTGTTTGCCTCAATATCATGAATGAGCTTTGTATTGTATGCGACAGTATTGATATAAAGGTAGTGGACAGTGTTGGAAACGTTGCCAAACATTGCTGTTCCTATTGAGCTTAAGATCACTAAGGCTGGTTGTAGCAGCCTGACATCAGACTGCTCAGTCTGGCAATGCCAGGAATCACATTTGGGACTTTGCACTATGTACCCGAGCACTGTTGCAGAACCTTAGTGTTGATGCTTGCAACATAAAGCCCTCCCAATTATTGATCTTTACTGTTCTGGGGAGTTGCTGTATTTGCTACGAGCTATCAGATTGATCAGCATTAAGAATTATTGGCATGTGCACCAAGGATTGGAGTAGGTTTAGGGATTGGGTAAAGACATTTGGGGTGTATCTGGGGCAAAGGGTTGTGTCGAGACATGTGTGAGCCTGTGCGTAGAACTGTGCCTAATTTTGGAAAGACTGTCGTTATTTTGAATAAATAAGTGGAATGCAATATATTGGCAATCCACAACCCCCAGTCCTCAACTGGGGAGGCGATGGCCTAGTGGTATTATCGCTGAACTGTTAATCCAGTGACCAGACAACATTCTGGGGATCTGGGTTCTGGAATTAAAAGTCTAACGATGACCGTGACTCCATTGTAGATTGTTGGAAAAACCCATCTGGTTCACTGCCATCCTTACGTGGTCTCCATACATGTGACTCCAGACCCACAGCAATGTGGTTGACTCTTAACTGCCCTCTGGGTAATTAGGGACGGGCAATAAATGCTGCCTAGCCAGCAATGCCCTCATCCCGTGAATGAATAAAGAAAAAAAAATCTCTTTATCCTTTAGATGTTAACATGCAGAAGGGTGAGAGAATAATAATGAACTAAATGCCTTCAATATGTGGTCTTGCCTTGGGTCCCACAGGAATGGATGATGATGGTGGTGATGCTGATAGCAATTTTGTTCCACCTTCAGCAGAGGGCGATTTGGTTCAGGAGCACATTACAAAACAGAAGGTGAGTGCTGTTTACGATGGGGATCTGAAGATTAGTGAGTGTGTGCAGTGATACTAAACTCTATCAACTCTTGGTGTAAATGTAATTTGTCCACTTCATGTTCCTGCAGGCTGAGGATGAAAGTCGGGGTTATGTACTGCGTAAGCGGGATCCAGTAGTGCCTGACATGGTGCACACAAAGGTAGTGTAGCAAATCCTGAAGTCAGTTTTCGTTTGTTTCATTTCAAAGAGAATTGCAAGCAGCCTGAAATCACCGCAGAAAATATGTATCTCCTCATTGGGTATAGTAGTACAGTGTCTTTCTCTCTGGATTAATATACCACCCATCTGGCTACCTCTCCTCTGGAGATGAGAATGGAAATCTTAATGTGGTTGTCTGTCGATTTGAATTCTGTTAATTTCATCTGGTGTTGTTTAAAAAAAACTTTAGGTATTCTGGAATGGCTTAGCCAGCCATTCCATTGTGTCAAACCACTACGTAAAAACTGAAAGGACAAAAGCATGCAAATCATCTGACTTCAACCTGGGCGTTGGTTTAGGACATCATGACTCCATGCTCAGTCCCGGCAAACCTGCAAAGCCCTCCTCAATAACATCTGGGGACTTGTGCCAAAATTGGGAGGGTTATTTTATAAAGTAGTTAAGCAACACGTACCCTCGGCCATTGTTCTTGTTACCTTTCCCACTAGCAGGGAGGGGCTCAAAGAGTCCTCATTGAATTCAGTCTTCTTGAAATCTTGTGGCTTTGGGTCAAACATGGCTAAAGAAACTGAACAGAGAACTTGTGCCATTAAGCAGAATTCCAGCATTTAGATAATGGAATTCTATTCTACGTTTTTAATTTTTTGCTGGTCCACCGCTGGTAACGAGTTTGGAAGAAAGACCCATGAAGCCAAGAGTGTTTTAATTACATGATTCTTTGTCACAAAAATATTTGGACCTTGCTTTTAGTCACTAATTTTCAGACCTTTTGTTTTCTGCCACTTTCATCCCCGAGGAAACTACCCTTGTCATGATTTGACAAATCAGTACTCCTTCATGATAAATAGCACTTGCATGAAGCACTGAGGATAGCACAGAATGTAGACTGGACATCAGTGTTCAAAAATACTGGAGGAACTTGACACCATCCAGGACAAGGCAGATACTTGACTGGCACCCCATCTAACATCTTCAACATTCACTCTTCCTTTGCCAACACACAGTCCATTAGCTTATAACAACTAAAAGATGTACTGCAATAACTCACCAAGACTGCTTTGAAAGTACCTTACAAACCTGTGATCTTTAACACCTAGAAAGACAAAAGCAGCAGAAATGTGAACACTACCACTTTGTGTTCCCCTCCAAGTCATACACCGCCCTGACTTGAAATTATATTGCTGTTCCTTCACTTTTGCTGTGTTATCTCAGTTGGCTGGACCATTGGTTTGTGATGCAAAGTGACACCAACAGTAGGGGTTCAATTCTGCTGTGATTGAGGTCACCATGAAAGTCTTGCCTTAACCTCACGCCTTGCCTCAGTTATGGTGAATCTCATGTTGAACCACTGCCTGTGGTCTCTCTGTAATGAAAGAACAGTCCTGTGGCCCTGTCACTATGGCGAGTTTACCTTTTTATTAAATCGTTTGTTAATCTGTCCTACCATCTTTAAAGATTTGAGCACAACATACCAAATGTCTCTGTTCATCAGCCCTCCTTATGTTGCCGTGGCTGTTTTGGAGAGAGTGGGGAAGCAGGAAGTGGCATCTTGTGACTCACCTGTCCTGAGATAACAAGATTCTCTGTCGGAGCTTGATTTCAGAAAATTAGCTCATTTGCAGAAAAGGTGTAAAGTTTTTAAGAATTCATCACTATTTCTCTAGCAGCTGCTGCTCCATCCTATTGCCCCTATCTGTATTCAGAGTGATGAGACATTCTGGAAGAAAGTATGAAACAAATGATGAAAATAAATCTAATGTGGTGGGGGGGGTGCTGTGTGTGGTCTTCGACATTTAATGGATTGACATATTGAGACAGCTTAGAACGGGTTAGCCTGAGCAGTTTTTTCATTAGATTTTCGAGAATGGTGGAGGGAGAATTTGGTGGATTTGAGCTCAACTCTTAATTCAGACTGACATTCTAGGGTATTGCTGAAAGGCTGATACATTGGTAAAGAACCAGTGCTCATGGAGTGCTGCACTGGCTAAGGGTATGTTGTGCTGTCAGATGTAATATCTGTATTCTTCAACCAACATCATACGCACACACTTGACTCCACTCTGCAGCAACATCGGCTCATCCTCTCTCAAAGCTGTGCCGTTCCCGAGGTTCACTTCATCCTCCACCTCATCCAGCGCCTCAACAAAAGACTTTTTCTTTCGGGCATCAAAGCGCGCAAGCTCCAGCAACCTATGGACTCCAACATCTGTCCTGTGGACTGTCCCTTAGCACTCACCCCTTTCCAGCCCTCCAATGCCATCACTTTCTGTCTCTGAAGCCACTCCCCCTAACCCCAGCCCTTGCCGCGTTTTCACTGTTCCTCCTGACCCTACCCTCTCTGAGGCTGAACATACTGTCCTCAGCAAAAAAAAAACCTCAGCTTCATGCCTTACGTCCCCACTTCACTGAATTTCGGGCTTGCCATGATGTTGAACTGTTTTTCTGCCGTTTCTGCCCCCTCACTCATTTCTTCAGGTACGACTCCCCTTCCTGTTCCACTGATCCCTTCACCCGCCTCCAGTATTCACCTTCCATTTGGACTCCTTCCCCTGGCCTCTTACCTGCCTTTGATCTCTTCATTGAAAACTACCGATATGACATTGGCCGTCTCAATTTATCTGCTCCTCTCACCCACTCTAACCTGTCCCCTTCTGAAATTGCCACACTTCACTCTCTCAGGTCCAACCCTAACTTTCATTATCAAACCTATCGACAAAGGTGGTGCTGTTGTAGTCTGGCGCACTGACCCTTACCTTGTGGAGGCTCAATGGCAGCTCTCGGACACTTCTTCCTGCTGCCCCCCGGACCATGACCCCACATCTGAACATCAAGCCATTGTTGCCAGGACTGTCACTGACCTCATTAAGTCCAGAGATTCCCCCCACCTTGCGGAATAGAGAGAAAAAGGTCTCCCAACCCTGGACAGCCTGCTTCTACCTCCTTCCCAAAATCCACAAACCAGACTGCCCTGGTAGGCCCATCATATCAGCCTGTTCCTGCCCTACCGAGCTCATTTCCTCCTACTTTGACTCCATCCTGTCTCCACTTGTCCAGACCCTGCCCGCCTACATCCACAATTCCTCTGATGCCTTCTACCATGTTGACAATTTCAAGTGGTGTTCACCGTGGGTATGCAATCCCTCTATACCTTCGTTCCCCACCAGGACGGTCTGCAAGCTCTTGGCTTCTTCCTCGACCAGAGGCATGAACACTCCTCATCCACCACCACTCTCCTCCACCTGGCTAAATTGTTCTCTCATTGAACAATTTCTCCTTTAATTCATCTTACTTCTGCCAATTCAAAGGAGTGGTTATGGGCACCTGCATGTATCCCAGTTGTGCCTGCGTCTTTATGGGATATGTGGAACAATCCTTGTTCCAGTCCTACACTAGCCCCCTCCCACAACTCTCATTTTTTACTGTACGTTGACTGCTTCAATGTCGTTTCATGCTCCTGCCAGGACCTTGAAAGTTTGTTCATTTTGCCTCCAGTTTCCACCCCACTATAACTTTCACATCATCTACCTCCCTTCCTCTCCTTGACCTCTCTGTCTCCATTTTGGGGAATAAACTGTCCATTGCCATCTGCTACAAAGCCGTTGACTCCCATAGCTACCTTCACTACATGTCTTCACACCCATCCTCCTCCCATTCTCCTAATTCCTTCGGCTACGTCGCATCTGTTTCAATGATGCCACCTTCCAAAACAGCGCTGCTGACATGGCTTGCTGCTTCCATAACGTGGTTTCCCACCCATTGTGGTTGACAGGGCCCTCAACCGCATCTGACCTTTTTTTTAATTATTCATTCAGGGGAGGCCAGCATTTATTGCCCATCCCTAATTGCTCAGAGGGCAGTTATGAGTCAATCACATTGCTGTGGATCTGGAGTCACATGTAGGCCAGACCAGGTAAGGATGGCAGTTTCCTTCCCTAAAGGACATTAGTACCCACGGACTTATCACCCATGCTTCCGCCCTTGCCCCTTCCCAATCCTCTCAATAGCATGATCGGGTCCTCCTTGTCCTTGCGTCCTGCCAGCTACTGCATTCAAAGGATCATCCTGCACCATTTCAGACAACTCTAGCAAAATGCCACCACCAAACACATCTTCCCCTCACTCCCCTGCCAGCATTTTGCAGGGATCATTCCCTCCGGGACACCCTAGTCCATTCCTCGACCATCAACACGACAGCTTTCCCACGCCACCTTCTCATGTCACCTTAGAAGATGCAACACCTGCCCCTTCACCACCTCCCTACTCACTGTCCAAAGGCCTAAACAGTCTTTCCTGGTGAAGCAATACTTCACCTGTACCTCCTCCCATCTTGTGTATTGTCTTCGCTGCACCCAATGTGGTGTACTCTACATTAGAGAAACCAAAAGCAGACTGGGTGACTGCTTTGTAGAACACCTCCAGTCTGTGCACAAGCATGATCCCAACCTATGCGTAGTTAGTCTTTGAAACATCGTGTCCTGCTTGCATGCCCACTTGTCTGTCCTTGACATGCTGCAGTGAATCACAGCGCAAACTGGTGGAACAACATCTCATCTTTGGACTAAGCACTTCACAGTCTTCTGGACTTAATATTGAGTTCAACACCTTCAAATTGTGAAGTAACTCACATTTTTTTCCTTTCTTTTAGCTTTACTTGTTATATTCCCTGTCACCACGTCCTTTCTTCCCTCCACCCACCCCAGTGGGACTGTCTGCTCTTTCTCGTCTGGTAGTTGTGTACACCATTGTTCTGCCATTCTCACATTCCGATCACATCTGTTCTCCCTAGCACTTTACACCACCCCCCACCTGAATTATAGCATAAATGCTGTCCCCTACACGCTTCACTTCAGCTCTGATGGAGAGTCATCGAGACACAAAACGTTAGCTTGCTCTTTCTCCAGCTGTCTTGACCTGCTGTGATCTCCAGCATTGATTGTTTTTAGAACAGATCCCAGCACCTGCAGTAATTTTACTCCATCAACCAGTTAATCTGGTCATACATCTCACTGCTATTTATGGATCTTGCAGTCTGCAAATAGCTGCCAACTCTACTAAACGTTGCATATAAGTTGTGAAAGCCACTATATAAATACAAGTTAATTCTCTTAATGATTGTTGGCTGTTTGCACTATAGGAAGTGCTCGACCCCTGGAGGAGTCTGGATCCTTTTGAAGCCACTCAAGCCAAGCCATTCAAGAAAGGTACCTTGATGAATATATCAGCTTCCATCTCCAGAGTTCTGCCAAGAGGAAATAAACCTGGGCATGGAGATTTTAAACTTCAGCAAAATTTCTTACATTCAAAAGGGAACATTAATGGATTATCAAGGGACAAGCTGTGCATAGTATTGTTGAGTGATAGCTGTGTGATTATTCCATTATTCTACTTTCACTGTTTCCACATTCCCACCTGCTGACATTTACTTTAAGGAATGCCATGATTGTGATGATGATGGAAATTTCAGCAGTGTTTTTTGATAGCCCTCTTCCTCAAGTCTCCTTTTGTGGCAAACATCAACTGCTGCTCACATTGGCAGGATGCTGTTTAGACAGCACATTTTGAGAGTCACGTTTTGCATTACAACTCTTGTGCAAATGCAGCTGCTGGTGCCTGAGGCTGAACAGTTTGAGGAAGATGGATGTGATCAGATTAGATTAATTCCCCTGTTATTTGCTGCTATCTCACCTGTCCAATTTTCATCAGTGAGCTTGGGCTGAGGGTGATGACCTCTGTTGAACCACAAAGGACTGTACCGCTGAGTCTACCTTAGCACAGGCACCTCCCAACAGGACAGTGATTGGAAACTGACCACAGTCTAAAATTTAGAGCTCGGCCTTTCAAGAGTGATGTTGGGAGTTTTCAATAATAAATTGTGGAAATCTGGAACTTTTCCCTCAATATTGTGGGTGCTGGGGAATGTTTGGGTCCTCTTAACCTAGATTAGCAGATCTTAGCCAAAGTGGGGTCTAGAGCAGAGGTGGATAAATGGAGTTGGCATGCAGATCAGCTGTGATCTAATTTGAATGGTGGAGCAATTCGGAGGAGATGAATATTTTCCGGTTCTTGACTCTGGGATTTTATACCCGTCCCCCTGCTGACCCACTTTGAATACAAGCCAATGGTTTCTGTCCTGGCCTGCACAGCTGAATAGGAAGCTGACCGCCACTGTGCAGCACGCTGGCGCACTGATCAGCCGACAAGCTATTGAATCATGGGGTGAGTGAATGTCTGGTTACAATGTGTAATGGGTGTTGTTTCTGATGAATATCCACCTTATTACCTATTCGGGTCCTAGATATGATGCTATGATTTTGTATTTTTCAGGAATACATTTTGTTATACCACCACGTGTTGATATTACTGGAGGCAAGCGGAAACGAAAAACCTTTGTAAAACTGAAAGATTTTGGGAAATGGTTCTCTGAGACATGTGAGTAGCCATTGACCATTTTCCTCCTTGTGTTTACTGAATCTATACAGTTTTGTGCTGTGGGTGACACTAACATTGCTCTGACACTCTGGTCACCAGTCCCAGGTGAATCATTGTACTGTGTAGTTTACTGTAGGTGTGCTATATACCGTGAAATTCATTGCTACAGTAATTATACTTTATAGTCTTCTCTGCATATTCCGTCTTTTTCAATCTCTTATATTTGCTTTTCTCTGCCCTCCAGATTACGGTGGATGGAATGAGGCAAAGAGTCGGAAAAGAGGCCCAACATTTGCAGGTAAGAGGCAGAGCTGGGCGTCTGGGATCAGCTTTGATTCGTGCATCAGTGGGGAAATTTAGCATATTTCCTCAGACTTTAGGGAACATAAGAGCTGGAGTGAGTTGCTTTTATGAAGCTTACTGCCCATATCTTGATGGAGCCCTACTCTTTCACTGAGGCCACCATTGTCTTTTCAGTTACCTAATCCTTCAGCAACCACCAATGATGTGTACTTCCATGGGATACAATTATCTAGTTATGAGACACTGACCAAGGAAGAGCATAAAATTAGGAGCTAGATAATGTTTTTTTTGTGGTGGGAGCTAGAGATAATAATGGAGAAAATTTCTGCTGATTGTGATTTTGATATAGGATGAGCAGTGTGCCAAATCAGTGACATTGGAGGGTTGAAAGAGGTGGTTGTGAGGTACAGTTGATTGTTGTCGGCTGTGTGAGGACCCTCAGAATATATTTTTACATTGTGTCACTGGGGAGTAGATAAGATAATAAATATGAGAGGGACAAGTATAGATCGTTGGAGATTTTGTATGTAATTGTGAGAGTGGGAAGATGAGCCATTGCATGTGACTCTCTAGCTTTGATTGGATAGCTGAAAGTGGAAGCAGGTATGTGCATGTTCTTGAAAAATATTTTTAATTCATGGAATGTGAGCATCACTGGCTGGGCCAGCCTTTATTGTCCATTCCTAGTTACCTTTGAGAAAGTGGTTGTGAACTGTCGTCTTGAACTGCTTTGTTCATTTACTGTAGGTAGACCCACAAATGCTGTTGGGGATGGAGTTCCAGGTTTTTGACCTAGTGACACTGAAGGAATGGTAATCCATTTCTAAACTCAGAATGGAGAGTGGCAGGGAGGGAAACTTGCAAATGGTGGTGTTTCCACATATCTACTGCCATTGTCCTTCTAGATGGTAGTATGCTTAGATGGTGCTGCTTAAGGACCCTTGATGAATTTCTGTAGTGCATCTTATAAATGGCACACACTGAACATCAATGGTGGAGAGAGTGAATGTTTGTATACGTTGTTTTTATTCCACTGATTCCCATTGACTCTTGTTTTACTTGGGCTCCATGATGCCACACGCTGTCAATTGCAGCCTCAATGTAAAGGGCAGTCATCCTCACATCACCACCGAGTTCCGCGTTTTTGTCCATCTTTGAATCAAGGCTTTAATGGGATCAGAAGCTGAACGGCGCTGGCAGAATCCAAGTAGAACATCACTTAGGTTATTGCTGACTCAGTGCCCCTTGATAACACTGTTGATGACTTTTCCATCACATTATTGATAATCAAGAGAAAATTGATTTTAGATTTGTCCTGTCTTTTTTGTAGAGGGCATACCTGGGCAATTTTCCACACTTTCAGGTAGATCTGTACTGGAACGGCTTGGCTTGGGGTGCAGCATGTTCAAAGCACACATCTTCAGTGCTATTGCCAGAGTATTGTCAGGGCCCATAGCCTTTTCCGTACCTAGCATTTTCATCTGTTTCTTGATATCATGCGGAGTGAATTGAATTGACTAAAGGCTGCCATCTTTGATGCTGGGGACATCCAGAGGAGACCGTGATGGGTTTCCACTTGGCACTTCTGGCTGACGATTGTTGTAATTACTTCAGTGTTATCTTTAGCTTGATTTGTTGAGGTTCCCTATAATTGAGGATGGAAATATTTGTAGAGCCTTCTTGCCCAGTTATTCATCTGGTTGACACCTCAGTTTTAGGTATGCCTGATGCTGTTCCTGTGTATTGTCCTGCACACTTCTATGACCCAGGATTGATCCCCTGGCTTGATATTAATGGTAGAGTGCTAGGCCATGGAATTGCAGGTTGTGTTGGAGTATGGTTCTGCTGCTGATTATGATGGCCCACAATGCCTTATTGATGCCCTGTCTTAAGCTGTTCGATCAATTTAGCAATGTGGTGATGTCACAATCCATGATGAAGGATATGCTCAATATAAAGAACAAGGCTTTGTTTCCACAAGGACTGTGTGGTGGTCATTCCTACTACTGCTGTCATGAACAAATGCATCTGATGCAGGCAGATTTGTGAGGATGAGACTAAGTAAGTTTTTCCCTCTTCTTGGTTTCATCACCAGCTGCTGCAGACCTAGTTCTATCAGCAATGTCTCTTAGGATTTCTTTATATTTTTGTTCAAGAGATTTGGGCATTGCTGGGTAGGCCAGCATTTATTGACCATTCCTGTTTGCCCAGGGGGCAGTTTAAAGTCAATTACATTGTTATGGATCTGGAGTCACATGTAGGTCAGATTAGGCAAGTATGGCAGATGTTTTTCCCTAAAGAGCATTAATGAACTAGATGACAATCAACAATGGCTTCATGGTCATCATTAGACTTTCAATTACAGATTTTATGGTTTCTTAGTCACCACTGGGTTAGATCTTCATTCCAAATATTTGTTGGATTCAGATTTCTCCACCTGTCATAGTGCCCGGAATAATACCCTGGGTTCTGGATTACTAGCTGAGTCATGTTGGCTGTGATACCATTGTCATTTTCAGTGCCTTGGTTGATGCCAGGTTGTCTGTACAGTTTCATGCCTTTTTCCTGAGACATTTTGGCAGTTTGATAGAACAGAGTTGCTTTAGAGGGTCTGGAACCGCATGTAGGCCAGATCAGGTAAGGATGGTAGATTTCCTTCCTGAAAGGATGAATGAACCAGATGGAATCTTATGATACTTAACAATGGTTTCATGGTCATAATTATACTTTCAATTCTACATTTTTTTTACGCTCAGGTTCCACCGTTTGTTTGGTGGATTTTGAACCCGGGTCCCCACAATATTTCCTGCGCCTCTGGATTTCTAGTCCAGCAACAATATCAGTATGCCATTGCTTGTCCTCATCCAGCTGGTGGATGATACAAGAGGATGGTGTGGTCACCCACATGAATAAGCAAAATCGAGAAGGATAGGAAGGATAATTTACCATTGTCACACAGCATGTCATTTATGATTTTAATAAGGGCTGTTTCCTGCTGTGGCATGTGTATGTAAACCAGATTGGAAGGGTTCAACGATAGAATTATGGGAAGAAATGGTTCAATATTGTAGATGACAAAGTGTTCAAGCTTGTTGGAGAGGAAAGGGAGGCACTTTGGATGATATGTTGCAAGCTGCAGGTGTCCAAGGCAGTACTCCCTGTAGAATGTGCAGTAACCTGAAAGTTTCTGTGCACAAGCTGTCTGCTTTTCAGATACCACACATATGTGGCTGCACAAGACAATTTAAAAAATCTGTGTACTTAACTGATTCACCTGCAATAATAGAATAGAATAGAAATTTACGTGTACTTTTACATGAAAAATATCGTGAAACGTTTTATAAGCTGCCCCACCACAGCATCTGTATCAATGCCAGAAAACATATATAATAACTTCTAAAAAGTAAAGTAAAGACAAAGTTCATCACGATTCAGTTAACAGCTCCTGGGCTCAGGGAAAACAGGTTAAGGAACAATGGTATACCCTGACGATGAAGCCAGGACGAGACCGCCTGATGGGCCCCTGGAATACCTGGACGCCGAAGAAGAAGAAGACCTCCACACAGGATGACCGCCATGCTGAGTGGAGTCTGCCTTTCTCCTCCTTCAGGTGCCCATGCCTAGCTGCAGACCTGGATCCTCGGCCTAGACTGCGAGTCTGGGCCAGAGGAGTCAGCCTAAGACTCGTTCTTGCCTTGCTGGGAGACCCTGGACTGGGATGGAAGTGTGTCTGGCTCGTCCTAGTGTTGCCGCTGGCAACTCCGGGAGGGTATCAATTCTGCAGCTTCCCATTGATCTCACACGACAGACAGACGGACACCATTGTGCAAAGACTTATCTGTACTTGGGGTGGCTGATGGTGAGGAGGGCTCATCAAGTTAATAACTTTCTTGAGAGCGTGGAGCTTTGAGCTTTTTTTTTGCTAATTTTTAAAATGATCTCTTTCCTTTGCAGATGTGGAGGTTCTGTACTGGCAACATATGAAAGACAGACTCCGAGCACAGAGGAAACATCAGCAAATGATGGTAAGTGTTTGGTGAGAAACATTAGTTAGGGAGAGAAATGCCAGTGGATGATGGAAAACTCTCCAAGTGTTTTGGTACATTTTATGCAAAAAATGCATTTGTACCAGTTGTGAAATATTAATAGCAGGAGTTTTGACTGGATCAGGATGGGATTGAGCCACATAGCTAGGTCTGTGTTAAAGTGTTTGTTCTCAGATGGCAGTCAGGGCACTGCAGTCTGACAGAACTTTGAGAAGGTGAAAAGTCAACTAAGGTTTCTGCTCTTGTTCAATATCTAGTGAACACTTCTGGTAATGGTACATTGTGAAAGACCATCGTCCTCAGATCTATGAATCTGTAACTAGGGGCACAAATTAAAGATGCTACAAGGAGAAGAAAGGAGGAAGTTAGGTTTACATAGATTATTATGCTGAATGATTTGCCGTAAGGACCTTTCAAGGACAAAATTAGAATATGTATATACAATTACATCCATTTAATGGGGAATTGAAATAGGATTGGAAGAGAAAGATACGGAATAAAAGTGGAAAACGCCTGTTGGAGAGCTCAGAGTAGCTTTCTCAGAATGACCTCTTGAGCTGTATTATAATTCTGTTTTAAGTGGGTCATGCAGAATAATTAATTCTTGCTGTATTGTGGAAGAGATGACAGGTCCAATTTTGTGTGCTTGTGTCTGGCATTGACTGGGGGTATTGGTGTGTGGGTGAGCAGGCTCTTGTGTTGGTGTGTTTGCGCAATGTGTGTTGAAGGTGCATGTCATTACAGGGTGGGCATACAGTATGAAGGTGCTGTAACATGTGGCAGAATTTAAGCTCACCCTTGAGTCACCTATCTGAAGGGAAGCTGATGAAAATGGAGTGTGATTCAGGTGCTGTGTTCTTTGATGTATTCTGGTTTGTGTCAGAACTCCTGCTGTTTGTGTATATGATTATGCTAATCAAGTCTTTCCTCTGCAGATTGCTCTACGTGGGAGGGTAATAGAGGAGTTAGATGTAGAAGCAGGAAACATGGAAGAAGAATTAAATGACTTGCAAGAACGAGCTGAAGACCATCTGGATAACGACGGAGTGGAAGGTAATGAAAGAGAAGGGATTTCTCCCATTCTGGGACCTAAGTTATGTTGCAAATGTAGAAATAGTTTCTGTACTGAAACAATTGCAGGGACTACTCCTCCTTCCCTTATATAGGCCATTTGTATATTCTGGTGTTGGATTCTTTTTCTTACAGTTCTGTTTGCTTGAATTTGTGTTCTAGAGTGGTGCTCTGTTGTTCCTATAACTATTTTTCATTTGTTCCCTCACATTATTGTCTTCTATAGGCCTGCATTGCAATCTTAATGACTTCTGTTTACTTTCTCAACACTAGTGAGGAGAGCCTTAACCCGACTCTCAATTACGTAGCATCTCTTCTAAGGCATTATGAGTCTATTGCTTAGTATATACAGCACAGAGATGGGCATTTTAGCACAATATATCTACACAGGTGTTTATGACTTAAATGTACCTCCTCCCATCCTTCTCCATCTAACACCAACAGCATATCCTATATTACCCTGTGCTTACCCGGCTTTCCTTTTAATATTTTGACCTGTGGTAGTCAATTTCCTTGTCACATCTCTCTATTCAGCAAATAATTTAGCTTGCATATTTGTCATTGCTTTTACATTCTCCTGATAATAAAGTGCCAGAACTTGAACTGTGGCCTCAACAAGATGTACAGATTTAACAGCATTTTCTTGCTTTAGTTGAGGCCCCTTTACTTTGCTTTGAAGTCTCATTATTTAAGAATTTTTGCTGCTTTCAAAATGCATTTTGGACGTTTCATGAAACTACACTTGCCTGGCCCATGAGCCTAGCTGTGCCCTTTGTTTATTTAACATTATTCCAATTTGCTGAAATGACCAAATTTCAGTATCGCTTTCCCCTGTGCCGATTGTCACCTCCTGATTTCCAGGGTAAAAAAGATCAGGATGTAGATGTGAATATCAGAATTTCTAGATGAAAATGTCTATGTAGTTGACTTAACAACCTAATATTTGCAAGATTTGACAATAATGGAGTTGTTGACTAATCATGCTAATCAACACACATCCACGACAGACACAGGCATGAGTGAGAAACCAGAGGCTGGAAGAATGCAGCAAGCCAGGCAGCATCTGGAGGAAAGGAGCAGTCAATGTTTTGGATCCAGTCCTGAAGAAGGGTAATACCCCAAACGTTGACTGCTCCTTTCATCCAGATGCTGCCTGGCTTGCTGTGCTCTTCCAGCCTCCTGTTTATCTACCTGGATTCCAGCATCTACAGTTTTTTTTTTGTCTCTACTGAGTGAGAAACCGCCGAGTGCCAAACAGTTATGGGAATCGTCGATCAGAAGTCTCCTATAACCCCCAAGTTTGAGTAATCATTTATGTAGCTGAAATCACTTGTATTGTACCACGCAATGTTATGCCTGAAATATAATTTTGAATTTAAATGATCAGTATCACCTGCATTCATCATCTTCCAAGAGATCCTGTGCTACGTATTAACCAGTTTGTTCCTGAAATATTATTTCCACAGATTAGTTTGGAAGTCACCCAGTCTAGCTCAGGCCAGGTCCTCTACAGTTATGGTCAAATAATTTGTGATCCTTTAGAATCCTGGCAGCAATCATGTTACCTCTCAGTAGAATTTACATAAGTATTCATCACAAAAAGGATTAATATTCTCCTGTACAGACATGAGGTAATTGTTATCTGGATTACAGGGATAATATACCCTGATCTCAGTGCTTATTGTGCTTGAAGAGTTATACACACTACTCTGTAAGCGTATGTTTTATGGGTGGGGTGTGATATGAAGATATCAAATGTGCTGCATCTGCTACCTTTCACAGCAGGACTCTGCCATAAACATAAATAGTCAGAGAATGCTGTCACTGAGAACATTTCTGAAATTAATTGATTTCTGTGCTTAGTGCAAATAGGACCACGAGTTGGCCATCTAGCCCTCCAGCATTGTTCCTTTATTACTTGAGAGAGATCTGTGTGCACGTTGCTGTAATGGGCGTGTATAATGGGGAGAGAGAGAGAGAGAATGAAATCAAAATCAGCAGTGTATGTGTGAAGTGAAGGCATGACTGGGATCAGTGGGGTGGTGCCCAGAGCAATATCTGCTGGACCTGTTCAGCCTCGTTACTGTGCAGATAATCCTCTGATTGCACAATTACATTTTAATATTCTGCAGAGTGACACGCAGCCCACTCATGTAGTTTCAGAGCAATTGTTTCATATTTAGATATTCACCATTTGTCTTATTTGTATAATTTATTTGTGTAGGAGGTGGGATTAATTTCCTCCCACAATATGCCTCAAAAAGGCAGCAGAAACAGAACTTCAACAATCTGCCAGAAGTTGGATGGAAATCTGTGACTTTCTAGAATTTCAAGTACAAATTAATTGCCGTGTGGGAAGAAAGATCGCAAACACTCTCCAGTTACTGTTGGTTAGTGGGAGGTGGTGCCCTGATTTAGAATTAATGGAATTCTTCTTTAATTACGGATGGTACAAAAAAGAAATGAGAAATGTTAAACTTTAATGAATTAATGCTATAATTGGCCACAACATCTACTGTAGCATCTCTGACAACTAAGTGATCAGCACCCGAGATTTGAAACAGACAAGACACTTTCTAGAAAACCATAAAACATGAGAGCAGAAGTAGGCCATTCAACCCATTGATTCTGTTCTGCCATTCAATGAGATCATGGTTGACCTGATAATCCTCAAATCGACTTTCCTGACTTTTCTCTATAAGGCTCAATTCTCTTACTGAGAGAAACTCTTTCTTAGCCTTTAATGTACTTAATGATCTAGACTTAAGAGCTCTCTGTGGTAAAGAATTCCATAAATTCACTACCTTTTGAAAGAAGAAATTCTTCCTCATTCTGTCTTAAATGGTGACCCTTACTCTGAGATTATGTCCACTGGCCGTAGACATTCCCACAAGGGGAGACAACCACAATCAGAAGTTAGTGCCGTGAGCTGCATTGGCATGCTGCTCATCACTTGCGGAACATTGGATTGGCTGTGAGTATGCACAGTGCAGCTTAGAGGGAATGTTGGAGACAACCTTTACACATCTACCCTGTCAAGCTCCCAAAGAATCGTGCATCTTTCAATATGGTTGCCTCTCGTTCATCTGAGCTCCGCTGAGTATAGGCCCAATCTACTTAACATCTTCTCGTAAAATATCTGGTAACAACCTAGTGAACCGTCAATGCCTCCATCGTCAGTGTGCCTTCCCCTTAGATAAGGGCACCAAACTGTTCACAGAATTCCTTTTAGATATGGAGTGGAGAAGCTATTCTTATTGGTCAAGTCTAGTCTATCGTAGAATTACCCAGATCCAAATAATTCAGAAATGGTTTCTATCACTGAAATATTTAGATTCTGCTTCATCATAATCCAGGAAGAATCTCTGGTGTCTTGTCATCTTATTTGGGATGCTGCAGTTTAGACAGATTACCTTTGGGCAAGGGAGAGTGGGGAAAGTGAACAATGCTCCTGTTCTTGGTCACAGACCATTTGTCCTGGTAATATAGAGCAATGATGGACAGGTAAAAATGATCTGATCCATCTCTCCTTCTCACACAACTCTTCCTTATAGCATTGTGGATGCACCTACACCAGATGGACTGCAGTGGTTCAAAAAGATAGCTCATTCTACCTTTCTCGAGGGTAGTCAGGGATCGGCAATAAGTCAGTGAGATCCAGCGGTGAGCTTCGGTCATGAACCAATTGTGCATGAAAGTTGAGTTTGCCTGCTGTTTGACATATTAATTTAGCATTACTAACCAAAATATTGTGAGCAGTTGGAAAGCTGCAACATTTCAATCTGTGTTTCTATTTTTTCAGATGATTATGACATTAATTTGGATCAAGAAGCTGATGCAGCTCAGGACAACCACAACCCCCCAAATCTGGGTAATATCCCTTCCTCTAATTATGGATAAAACCTGTCCCTGTAACACAAGTTTAACACTCCACTCTCCTCTGTAACACTGGGTAAACACTCCTGTAACGCAGCACCGATTTCCAGCTGTTGTTTTCTGTCAGTAATTAAGTTACCATCTGTAATTGCAGAACCTTTTGGAGAAACGGGATCTGTGTGTTATGAGGAGCTTGTCAGAAGGAATGTGGTATGTAAAATTCCTGAAAACTAAATATGTTTTAGCATTCATTTTTCAGTCACCATAAGGAAAATGTTTAACATTCAGCTATAATTAAAATCTCTGCTCCAGTTGAAATCGGTACAGATGTTTGGAGGACCGTGTTACTTGATTAAGTATTGATATAACCAACAGCTCTAAACTAGGGAGCCTCGATCAGTTTTTCTAATGGATTTGATTTGCTCAGAGGTCTAGAATTTTCAGCAAGCAATGGTTAGCAAATGGTTCCAGGAATGAGAAACTTCAAGTAATGAGGATAGATTGAAGAAGTTGGGACTATCTTCCTTCGAGGGAAGGCTGAGAGGAGACTTGATAGTGTTTTTCAAAATCATAAGCTGGCTGGAGAGAAAAGATAGGGAAAAGCTGTTCCCACTTGTAAAAAAAAAGTATGTGAGAGTCTAGATTTAAAGTAAATGAAGCAAGGGTGATGTGTGAAAATGTGTTTTTCACTCAGCAATTAGTTAGGGTATGGTATGACCTGTCTAGAATTTCGGTAAAGGTGGGTTTGATTGAGGCATTCAAGTGGGCATTGATCATTTCAATGTAAATAGTGTGCAGCGATATGGAAAAGGCAGCAGATTGACATACTCGCAGGTGCAGACACGATGGGCCCAATTGCTGCCTCCTGTGCCATAGCAATTCTGTGATTCAGTAGGTTCACAGTAGATCCAGTATCCAAACATTTCATAATTCATTCTTGGGATGAGAGCATCAGTGATAAGGCTGGCATTTAAATATGATAATTTAGTTTTCCTGAGAAGGTGGTGGAGTAAAGGGTAATAACCCCCTTATTTAAATATACAAGAATAGTGTTGTTGAGGTATATACTGTTCATTTTAATATGCAAGGAAAGGACAATGTTGTTGGGAATAAAAGGGTGATATATTCCTTATGATGCCCTGGCTATGGTGAACACTATGTAATCTGGAGTACAGGCTGTTTTTACTGTTCCAATTTACATTCATCCTGTACATGTAAGAAGTGAGTCTCACATTGTACCTGAGGCTTGTGTTCATCTCTGATCCTGAATTCATGGCAATTCGTAGTGCATTGTTGGACTGAGCTGTTCTAGATGGACACATTCCTGTGTTCCAGGAGCTGTTCATCGCTAACTCCCAGCAGTACGCCAAGGAAACAGCCCTATCCCTTCGTGTGAGGGACTGGGAAGAGAAGATTGGCCTGAGACTTGAAGAACAGGTAAGAGTGATTTCATTGAGCCTAATGTGGCAAGCAACATTCTTGCGGGGTGTGGTGATTATAGCAGATTACTTAGCATTTTAACAAATCAGGCTGAAAATTATGATCCTACTTCAGTCTCCTATTGATGTCTTTCCAGCATTTTCAGGTTTTATTTTAGATTTTCCTTTGCTGAAACTCTCTTTTGTATGGTGGCTATTCTTTGAAGGGCTGGCTGAAGGGTCAGTAACTAATAATACTGGAAGAGGGTATGTACCTCCTAGGAAATGAAACCATCTTCAATGCAACAGAAACAATAAAGGAGGTAATAAGGCATATTAAATGAAAGGCCATAAATGACAAGGGAATAAGGAGTTGTGGAACAAATAATATAAGTAAGGTGGAAAGTAACTGCTATTAAAAATGAATTTAACTATCTCTACAATATGCAATATCCATGATAAAATAGGAAAACTGGAGACAATGTGGAACCAGATATAATAGGAATTACTGAGGTATGGCTTCATAAAAATCAAACTGGGAATTAAGCTTGCAGAGGTGACAATTTGGAAAGAGACGAAAAGGAGCGTGGAATAGCTGTCTTTGTTAGAAATAACTATGGCAGTACAAAGTGTGGTGTAGCCATTAGTCAGACAGGAATAGAATTCACATAAATAGATGTAAAAGCATCGAACACTCTATTGAGGTAATCTACAAACCATCCAAAAGTGAAAATAAACCAAAGGAAGAAAGCATGAAAACAAATTAAGGAAATGAATTTTAAAAAGTGGAGAAGTTCTATTACCCTGAATTGATTTGGCCAGAAGAGATGAGTAAAGGGGAATGGAGTTCCTACAATGAGTTCTGGACTCCTTTCTAACCTAGTATGCAAGCATGCAATAACGGAGAATTCACTACTGCATCTACTAATAAGGTATAAACCAAGAGCAGGTAGGTAAAAGTTAGGCAATGTCTAGGCAGAAGTGAATAATAATTGAGAAGGGCATTATCATGAGACAACAGTAAATCTTTTTTTTGTTGGCTTTATGTTGGATCACCTTGAAGTTTATATTCAATTAATACAGAATTTACAAAAATGCACATAGATAGTCTAATTTAGTAATTATGACTATTTATTTTGCACACATGCTGTAAACTATGGTGTACCATATTATCAGTACGGATTTAAAAGATTCTTCGTTATGCTTTTTACCATATCCATCTGGTGGACAATTCTTGTATTTTATTCCACACTAGCCCTCAATTGTTCCAATTTCAATTTCTGTAATCCCTCCTAACTCTAAAACTTGCTGTTTTTCAACTTGCAAACCTGAAGTCCACTTTTATTCCTTCATCTCGCAGCTTCTGAGTTGCTGCAACAATCTTCAGGCTGTGCAGTTAAACAATTTCTTCTATTTCCCAACCCATCCATTAGAATGTTCCATTTGGAGCTTGGGGAGGCTGTAAAAATTCCATAACTGAGAAAGGGGAAATGAGTTTCTGTGCCCAGGTAGTTAACCTTTCATCGAGACTTTCCCAAGCCCAATGTTAGGGAAAGTGCATGCTTGCTCCAAAATCACAAGAACACAGAATTAGATGCAAGAAGAGGCCATTTGTGCTGGAGCCTGCTCTTCCATTCAAGAATCTTGTTGATTAAGGTTTCGATCCATTCTGTTACCCATGCAGTGTTATCACCACTTTGTTAGGCCCATGCAGACGTATATAGGCTTCATTTAGCTATTAAAGTAAATTAAAATGTCACCATTTATCATTTTTAGTTGTACCTCCCTAATTGCACTGTAGGTGAACCAACAACATGTGGACTGCATCAATTCAGGAATGTGGCTTATTACCACCTTCTCAAGGGTTGCACAAATTCCTTGAAATAATTTTTTTAAAAAATGGCATGGTGACTCAGTGGTTAGCACTGCTGCCTCACAGCACCAAGGACCTGGGTTCGATTCCACCCTTGGGCGACTGTCTGTGTGGAGTTTGCATGTTCTCCTGTGTCTGCATGGGGTTTCTTCTGGGTGCTGCGGTTTCCTCCCACAGCCAAAGATGTGCGGGTTAAATGGACTGCTGTGCTAAATTGCCATAGTGTCCAGAGATATGCAGGCTGGGTGGATTAGTCGTGGGATATGCAGAATTTCAAGGAATAAGGTTAGTGGGGGAATGGGTCTGGTGGGATGCTCTTCGGAGGGTTGATGTGGAATCGATGGTCACAGAATCAATGGGCTGAATGTCCTGCTTCCACACTGTAGGGATTCTATAATGTGTGGCTAATTTTTCTGGAATACTGCATTGAATCCTCCATGCACAGTTTAGCTGTTCACACCATTTGGGAGCAGCCGTCGTTCCCTGTTGGGATACCCCAGTTGTTGCTGGATTTCCTACATTGTTACCATTGCAACAAAGCTGGTTCGCCAACAATAGCGTCCTTGTGGTTTGAACAACTGGACTCTTTTCTCTTGAAAGTAAATGGCTGAGGGCTAATTTAACAGAAACCTTTAAAATTGTAAAGGTTTTATCACATAAACACGAGAGAATGTTTCCTTTTGCAGGAAGAGCAAAACTACATCACTATAAGATGGTGATTGAGAAAAATCAAATAGGGAATTCAGAAACAATTCTTTCACCAGAGTGGTTAAAAAATGGAACTTTCTGCTACAAGGGGTAATTAAGGTGAAGAGTACAGATACATTTCAGGGTCTAGATAAGTGTAAAGAGATGGAAGGAATTGGAGGATCATGCAAAATGTGCTGGGTAAGGAAGGATGGGAGGGGTTTACAGTAAAAAGCATAAATGCCAACATTAACTTTTTAGTTTGAATACCTTCTCTGTACTGTATCTTCTATATAAGCATAAAACAGAAAAGACAATTGTCAAGAAGTCGGATGGCAGGTGAGGAAAATTGGTTTCATGCAGCAAATTATCGCAACTTGGCATGCATGACCTAAGTAGTGGTGCAAGCAAATTCAACAGCAATGGTCAAAAGCAAATTGAGTAATTTGCAGAGGATGGGTCTAAACTAAATATATCTTTTCAAAAGATTGGGACATACAGGGTAGTTCAAATGGCTCTATTCTATAACTCCCTCCTTATCACATTCTGACTATTTGCAATGTTTCTGATCTCCTGTAGGATGAGCGAGCTCCCTTTGACATCCATGATTATGGAGTCAGAATTATGGATGCATTTGACTGCATCAGACAGAGGCGTTCATTTGCAAGCATTGTGGCTGGAAAGGAGGCATTCGAGGTGTGTCGATATATGCTGGCCACGCTGCAACTGGTAAGCGTGTTCTTCACTGCGAGTTGAGATTAGATAAGAATGAGGAGCTTCAAGCACCCACCACCACAGCAACGTGTGGTGATTGAAAGGAAGCGGAGTGCAAAGAAAGTGAGGACAGAACTTTGCTATAAACTAGGCAGGTATGATGTGGGGATGCAGTTGAAAGTACTTTGGTGACAAAGCCTGAGAAATATGTTGCGACTTAACAATGGTTCAAAATAGAGAATTTCAAAATAGAGATATTTCAGGTGAATAGTATGAATGAATGACCTGATATGTTGTTACTCCACACTAGCTTTTTTTTCCCTTATGGATTTCATTAAGGGATAGTCTCAGTGCCAGCTTGGCTCAATGACAACATTCCTGCCTCTGAGTTAGAAGACTGAAGGTTCAAGCCCCTAGCTGAGGGCTGTCAAACACCAGCTAAGTTGATGCTGAAAGGGTGCAGCATCTTTGCAGAGGTGGTACTGTGGGAGTGCTACATTGTTGGAGAAGCAGCACTGAATAGATGCTGCAGTATTAGAGGAGTGGTACATGGGGGGTTGCACTCATGGAGGAGTCACACTGAAGAAGTGCTGTATTGTTGGAGGATGAGAACTTTAAACTTAAGATGTCTCAAATGGGTTTTACTTGACTTTGTGACAATGAACAATTATATAATTGATGCTTTGGGATGGATACATAAGGTTCCTGGGTATGCCATTGCTGAGATTTTGTTTTCTTCAGTTCCTTTGGATTTATTTTTCTCCTCTCATTGACTCGTTGAGTTTTTACCCCATCCCTGTGTTAACTTCTGGATGTTCAGGTGTGCCTCTATACAGAGAGTGGGCTATCGAGATTTACTTCAGTGCCGACTCTGAATGCCTGTTACAATAACGCCAAGTTTAGCTCCAGTGCTGTGAATATTAATTATCCCTCAGCTGCTCATAGTGAGATCTGTTTCCTCTCCTTTCCAGGCCCATGACTACACGGTGGACATATGGCAGAAAGAAGGGCTGTATGAATCAGTCGACACGATGGAACTGACCCTTTTGAGCAAACTAAGAGCTCACGAACGTTTCCGGACATACATGGCTCCATCCATTTCAAATAAATGAGAAGATTCACAGACCTTCATTCAACTTGCACAGTCCTCAGACTACAATCTTGACATTACATCCATTGTTTATGGCACACTAGGAGGGACTGTGCCCATATTTCCTTGCCGTATGACAGCAAGTGTCTGGGACACTGACTAACAGGATGAATGTTCTTCATGTTTCAGTGGAATGCACCACTTGCCCTAAGCCCTGCCCAAAACAATTTCTGGATTGTGATTATTCTCTATTTATGCTTATATATTTGCTGTGTTCTGTACAGCTACTATCCTAGGCTGTTTTGATTATATAATGTGCTTCATGTCACAGATGAGGTGCAGTTTACTGGCTGCATCCTGTGCAGTATTTTTATACAAACGTATGATTTTCTGATGGAGGGAAATATAATCAAAATGAGCCCAGCTATCATTGTCTATGCTTTTTGAGACGCTTATCAGATTTGTGAAGGAGAAAATCTCTTCAATTAAGTCCTAGATCTAACCTGGTGCCAAGTGTAACATTTGTAAAGTTAGGGCTTGTCCGTTTATATTTGGGTGAGGTTTTGTGCAATACTTTCCTCACTCAACCCCATGCTGGAGAAAAAAGACTTTGATTTCGTACTTAAAGAAATACAATTGTTTTTTCAAACATTCCTACTCCCTAGCCTCACCTTCCTGAATGGGAAAGTGAGAATCCAGAAATGTGCATGAATTGAAATTCAATTGGATGGTAATAAATGATGCTTGTATTTTGGGGAACAGTGTGTGCCATCAGGAGCAGATAATCACAAATCTGTACAAAGTGGAATTTTTAAAAATGTACAAATCTGAATTTTGTAAAAGTACTGCAGTAAACTTAGAACTCAATTGCATTCTGTGCTTAAAACTTTTTCATCAATTTGGGATTGGAAGATCTGTGAAAATGGGAATGAAATGCCCATTGGATATTGTATACCATAAAACATAGAAGTAGGCTATTCGGCCCATCGAGTTTGCTCTGCCATTCTTTCATGGCTGATCTGGTAATCCTGAATTCCACACTCCTGACTTTTCCCCATAATCCTGATTCCCTTGTGTATAAAGAATCTGCCTATCTCAGCTTTAAATATTCTTATTGACCCAGCCTCAGCAGCCCTCTATGGTAAAGAATTACACAGATTCATAACCCTTTGAGAGAAGAAATTTCTCCTCATCGCTATCTTAAGTGTGCAACCCCTTATTCTAAGATTATATGCTCTGGTCCTAGGCTCTCCCATAAGTGGAAACAACCTTTCTGCATCTACCCTGTTAAGCTCCCTAAAAATTTTCTATGTTTTAATAAGGTAGGCTATCGTTATTCTAAACTCCAATGAGTACACACCCAACCTACTCAACCTGTCATAAGACAATCCCTCCATACCTAGTATCAGCCTAGTGAATCTTCATTGGACTGCCTCCAATGAGATGAGAGGCCCAAAATTGTTTGTGGTATTCCAGCTGTGGATTGACTACTGCCTTGTACAGATTTAGCAAAACTTCTCTGTTTTTATATTGCATTCCCTTTGAAATAAAGGCCAACGTTCCATTCGCCTTCTGTATTACCTGCTGAATGTGGATGCTGGTTACTTAAGATTCATGGACAAGGACTCCCAAATTCTTCTGCGGTCCTCTGCAGTCTGTCTGCATTGTAATAAAATTAAGTTTACCTATTCTTTCTGCCAAAATGCATAACCTCAAATATTTCCACATTGTATTCAATCTGCCAAGTTTTGGCCCATTCATTTAATCTGTCCATATCCTTTTACAGATTCTGTGTCATCCTCACCACTTGTCTTCACACTTATTTTTGTGTTGATCCGCAAGCTCGGCTATTACATATTCACTTTCTTCATCTAATGTATGCTGTAAATAATTATGGCCCCATCACTGATTCCTATGGCACACCATTAATTACATGTCAGTCTGAAAATGTCACTCTTATTCCAACACGGATTCTTCTATTATTTAGCCTAACCTCTATCCATGCTAATGTACTATTTTCAGCACCTTATTAAGCAGACTAATGTATGATACCTTATCAAACACCTTCAAAAATCCAAATGTATTACATCCACTGCTTCTCCTTTATCTGCCCTGCTTGCTCCTCAAGAATTCAAGTAAATTTGTCAGGCATGATTTCCTTTTCACAAGGCCACGCTCACTGTGCTTGACCATATTATGCACTTCTAAATGCTGTGCTGCTGCATCCTTTATAATACTCTAATATTTTCCCATAACAGACATTGAGCTAACAGCCATATAGTTACCTGTTTTGTTTGCCTCCCTCCCTTTATAAATAAAGGTTTTAGAATATTATCCTGACAGTTATCAGTTTTGAATTGGGCCTCTGAGGACAGAGTCCTGAGATTCCTAGCTATCAAGAATACGACAGCTGGGAGTTTGTACCTTTTGGAATGCGGTGAGGGTAGAATTGGAAATGTTATATAATAAATTGGGATACACAGCATAAGATTTCAAAGGAGTGTGATTTCCCCTCCGATCCAGTGCAATACAGGTGAACCTTTAGTCCACTGCCTTTACTTCCAGGAAACAGAAGCAATGCCTTCCTTTCACATTGTGTCACTAACCTGCACAACACAAATGAAATGCAATTTATTAGAATGGAGGGGTCTCACTGCTTAATGTCACTACTTAAATTTTCACTGCAGAGTGAGAGCAAATGATTGAGAGTTGTTGGGCTGAAGGAGATTGGAGATATGGAAGGATAAGGCTGTTGTTTTTTTGATAAGTATCTTCATATATGTTTTCCCCTTGGATAAGTGTTGGACCATGTCAGAAGCATTCCTTCCATAGTTCACAAGTTTTGAAGTGTAACTTGATTATGGAGCTTCTGGCTCAAAAACAGGCATGTTACCTCCTGGGTCACATGACCTTCATGGGCAGGGCCATGAAGTAGTTTGAAAAGAATTTTGAAAATTTTAAGTGCAAACAGAAAATGTTGGAAAAACGCAGCAGGTCTGGTAGCATCTGTTGAATATGGTCATTGCCAGGCACTTGTGTCGGATGAATGTTATTTGGCAGGTGTCAGCCCAAATGTGGATAATATCCATATCTTGTTGCATTTGGACATGGACTGTTTCAGTATTTGAGGAGTCACAAATATTTCTAAATGTTGTGCAATCGTCCTTACTTTTGACCTTTATTAACGCGGGCAGGTCATTGATGAAGCAGCTGAAGATGTTTGGGCCTAGGACACTTCCCTTCTCCTGCAGAGATGTCCTGGAGCTGAGATAATTGACCTCCAGCAGCTACAACTATTTTTCTTTGTGCCAAGTATGACACCAGCAGACTTTTTGGCCTGATTCCTATTGACGCCAATTTTGTTGGGGCTGTTGTTAACACTTACGGATGGATGCATCTGCAGTGGGCAGGTTAATGAGATGAAGCCAAACGTTTTTCCCTCTTGTTGGATCCCTTACCATCTGCCACAGGCCCAGTCCAGCAGCTATGTCATTTAGGGATTGACCAGCTTGATCAGTAGTGGCAGTGCTGATTCCATGCTTGGTGGCATTCAACATGGAGCGTGAATTCAATACCTAGGTGGTAATCAGATGAAATTTTCCTTCCTCATATATGACCTGACACCATGAAAAATCATGGGGTCTAGAGTTAATGTTGAGAGCTCCCATGGCAACTCCCTACTGTCCACACCACTGTACTACCATCTCAGCTGGGTCTGTCCTGCCAATCGGACTGGGATGATGGTAGTGTAGTGTGAGACATTGTAAGATACAATTCTATGAATATGACTAAGACTTGCTTGAAAAGTCTGTGAGACAGCGCTCTTCAATTTTGGAACTTTGTAGGTTTAACAGGGTTGAGTTTGTTACGGTTGTTTCCAGTGCACAGATTGATGTTGGGTGATCTGTCAAGACTTGTTCCTTTGAGATTTCTTTGCCATTTGATACAACCGAATGGCAAACAAGACCATTTCAGAGGGCAATTAATAGTCAACCACATTGCTTTGGGTGTGGAGTTACGTCAGCCAGATTAGGTAGAGACAGCACATTTCCTTTTCTAAAGGTCGTTAGTGAACTAGATGGGTAATTATGACAATGGTTTCATGGTCACCATTAGAATTAGAATTTCAGATTTTTTTTATCTGCCATGCTTGATTGTAACTCTGATTACTAGTCCAGCGACAATACCATTACAGCACTACCTCCTAATTTTGCAGAACTAGCCATTCTTCCATAGCTAATTGTTCCAGCAGAGCTATAATACTGGCAAGTGCCCAGGTTTGTTGTTCATTTTTAAAAAAAGCCAAGTCCATTACGGTCATTTATCATGCCCATCATCCTACTTACAGTTATCAGCAAAGCAACATTGCATGCAGGAAATCTTTGTAAAGATAGTGTATTTTTAATTGTGGACTGAAATGAGAATGGAATGGTTTGGAAACCAAAGATTGCTGCATATATGAAAGCAAGTAATCAGATTCCTAATAAACACAGTTTAGAAGGATTGTGTACAATGGAGACTCAGCTATCCATAGGTCAATGCCCTAGTGCCTAGTTGTCGATGACAAAGATCTTCTGCATGCCAACAAATATGTGATTGGTTCTGAGGCTGTGAACAAGATAGTGAGAAGCCTTAAGCATTCCACAAGCTCAGGAGCTCTCTCTGTTCTCGGCAATACAAGTTACTCTAACCCTGAAGAAAACTAATTTATTTTTCCTTCAGTTATTGTAAGCTGTGATTTTTAATTAATAAGTCAGAGACCTTCTTCAAGTGCGAACAAGCCCCCTGCAAATCTGTGAAAACATGCCAAGAAGACAAAGAAGTAACATTCTGACTAGTACAAGAACCACCTTGCCAGAACCTGTGAACAGAGACCACCGAACTACTTTCCCAGTTTTCCCTCTGGCCATAATGCCTAAATTTTCTTTCATGTGTGTGTAAGGGAAATTTATAAGAAGGTTAGAGTTTGAACAATTAGTTATATGGCAATATTTCACAGTTGTTTGCCTGTAGCTGGAGTCTATTTACGTGTAATAAATAGTAATTATTTTTAAGTACAGAAACTTGGGTCTGAAATCAAGAAAATTGGAAAAATGTGCGGACTTCTGTAAAATCGTTCATTTTTGAGATGACTCCAGGAACAGCCAGACTTGATTTTCACTACCCCAGTGAACACATGGCTGTCAGTCACCAATTACCTATTATTGTCGCTTAGTTTGGATGCTGCCAGGATTATTTGGTTAATGATCTCATTACAGCCTTGGCCCAACTATGGACAAAAAGAAATGAATTCCAGCAGGGAGTGACTGATCTTGTATCTAGGCAACATTTGACCAAAACTATTGGATCTGCTTACACAATTTTTTTCAGGCAGTGGTTTCCAGATTATAACTGAATAGAGAAAAAATGTCATGGCTTCTAATGCTTTAGCCATCTACCTTCAGTCCATGCCATCTGTTACTGACCCTTCTGCTATCAGTTTCTTTTTATTCCTTATCAAAGCCATTTACAACAATGAACAATATTAATAAATCTCTTTAAGAGAAACTAGCTTCTCCACTCTTTCAACATAACTGGGGTCATTCATCCTCATACTATTGTAGTGTTGAACTTTCTTCAAAATCTTGACTTCCTTTATGAACTGCAGTAACCACAAACTCCAGCTGTGGACTAATCAATGTTTCAAAGAGATCTATCATATTTTCCGTGCCATTGTACTCTACTCCTAAATATAAAGCGAAGGATTCCATTTGCTCTCAAGTTGTCCTGCTGCCTTCAAACACTTGTTTGACATACACCTTCCAGGTCTCTGTTCTACAACCCCCATTTTGTTCATATTGCTACTTGTCATTCTGCCTATTGAAGTGTTTCTCAGCAATGCCCTTTGCCTCCACAGATCATCTTTTTGAGGCTAATCTGCTTTGCCCTTCCTTTGACTACTAATTATTCTTAGAAAATACATTAATCTTTCCTGTTTTTATTACTTGTTAATCTTCTATTGATTAGAAATAGTCAGCATGGCTTTGAGAGGTGCAGGTCATGCCTCACAAGCTTTATTGAATTCTTTGAGGATGTGACAAAACACATTGATGAAGGCAGAGCAGTGGATGTGGTGCATATGGATTTTTAGCAAGGCATTTGATAAGGTTCCCCATGGTAGGCTCATTCAGAAAGTAAGGAAGCATGGGATTCAGGGAAATTTGGCTGTCTGGATACAAAACTGGCTGTCCAATAGAAGACAGAGGGTGGTAGTAGATGGAAAGTATTCAGCCTGGAGCTCAGTGACCAGTGGTGTTCCACAGGGATCTGTTCTGGGACCTCTGCTCTTTATGATCTTTATAAGTGACTCAGATGAGGAAGTAAAAGGGTGGGTTAGTAAGTTTGCCGATGACGCAAAGGTTGGTGGAGTTATGGATAGCGTGGAGGGCTGTTGTAGGTTGCAACGGGACATTGACAGGATGCAGAACTGGGCAAAGACGTGACAAATAGAATTCACCCCAGAAAAATGTGAAGTGATTCACTTTGGAAGGTAGAATTTGAATGCAGAATACAGGGTTAATGGCAGGATTCTTGGCAGTGTGGAGGAACAGAGGGATCTTGGGGTCCATGTCCATAGATCACTCAAAGTTGCTACCCAAGTTGAAAGGGTGTAAAGAAGGCGTATGGTGTGTTGTCTTTCATTGGCAGGGGAATTCAGTTTAAGAGCCGCAAGGTTATGCTACAGCTCTATAAAACCCTGGTTAGACCACACTTGGAATATTGTGTTCAGTTCTGGTCGCCTCATTATAGGAAAGATGTGGAAGCTTTAAAGAGGGTGCAGTGGAGATTTACCAGGATGCTGCCTGGACTGGAGGGCAGGTCTTAGGAGGAAAGATTTGAGGGAGCTAGGGCTTTTCTCATTGGAGTGAAGAAGGATGAGAGGTGACTTGCTAGAGGTGTACAAGATGATGACAGGCATAGATAAAGTGGATACCCAGAGACTTTTTCCCAGGGCGCAAACGACTATTACGAGGGAGCATAATTTTAAGGTGATTGGAGGAAGGTATAGAGGAGATGTCAGAGGTAGGTTCTTTACGCAGAGAGTGGTGGGCACGTGGTATGTGCGGCCAGCAGTGGTAGTGGAGTCAGATACATTAGACATTTAAGCAACTCTTGGATAGGCACATGGATGACAGTATAATGTAGGGTATGCAGGATAGTTTGATCTTAGTAGGATAACAGGTCAGTACAACATCGTGGGCCGAAGGGCCTGTTCTGTTCTATGTTCTCATTCCTCCACCCTGATTCACTTTAAAGAAGTCTTTTGTATTGCTTTCTTCATTCCTTTATGTTATTAACTATTTCTGTGCTAACAACAATTCCATTTTCTCTAACCCCTCCTCACGTACAATTCTCGTGAAATATCTTAAACCCTCACAAAGGTCTTGAGATCTTTCCTAAACATTGAAACTGGTAGCAGCAGGCCATTCAGCCCTTTGAG